GTTGGTTTTGAGATGGTGTTTTGCTATGTTGCCCAGGCTGGCCTTGAACGCCTGGGTTCAAGAGATGCTCCTGCAGCTTCCTGAGTGCTGGGACTACAGGCATGTGTCACTGTACCTGGTACTTGCCTTACTCTTTGAAATTTTTTAAGGTTGCAGGCATGCCTGTAGCTCTTAGGTGGCGAGCTCCTAGGAAGAGTAAGAGATGGATATCTTGACTTGATTATTTTTTGTGAAGCAACTTTGTTTTCCTACTCAGGAAATGCTTAATGTCAGTAAGAAGTCAACAGAATAAAAGCTGACAAAGCAATGTTTAGTAAGCATTGATAAGATGAATGCAAAGGTAAATCAAAAAGAAAATGCAGGTTTTAGCTTAATGTGATCCCATTTCTCCCAGTAATGTTAAATCCATGAAGACAGGGGGTCGGAATTTGTTGAGACATTCTCAGAGGTTCCTTTTCCCAGGCTGTCCAAAGCAGATAAATCACTTCTATAGCATTAAAAAAATTGCTAAATGCATATTCCACTGAATCCTAAACAGTCTGAAATCTCAGGACCAAGCTTGGAAATCTTCATTTTTGGCACCTGGGCCCCGAAGTCTTTACTGAACTTAACCTGGGAGGTGCCTCCCATGCCAGGTGTGGTTAACAATTAAAGCAGGAATAAAACTGAAAGCTTAAAAATTCCTTTCTAGTTATTTAGTTATTTCTAGTTTTTCAAGCAGTATAACGAGTTGCAGATGCTTTCTCGCCTAGTTCCATCTAAAGTTACCACTTGTATGAATCAGTAGGGCATGAAGTAGTGGCCCAGGTTATTCAGAGCAATTGTGGTAATAACATTCCTTTCTTTGGTATTCTCCTGATGCCCCACACATTGGTACTAGTTGTGTTTAGATTTCTATTTTTATTTATTTATTATTTTTGGTACCAGGGATTGAACTCAGGGGCACTCAACCTCTCAGCCAAATCCCCAGTCCTTTCTTATATTTTATTAGAAACAGGGTCTCACTGAATTGCTTAGCGCCTTGTCATTGTTGAGGCTGGCTTTGAACTTGCAATCCTCCTGCCTCAGCCCTCCGAGCTGCTGGGATAACAGGCATGCACCACCACGCCCAGCTATATTTTTATTTATTTTTTAAAAATATTTTTAATTGTAGATGGACACAATACCTTTATTTAATTAATTAATTAATTTAATTTTATGTGGTACTGAGGATCAAACCCAGTGCCTCACACGTGCATTGCAAGTGCTCTACCACAGAGCCACAACCCCAGCCCAATATATTTTTATCTTTTAAGCTAATCCAAGTTTACCCCATTTACTTTATAAACTTAATTTTTTTCTTTTATCTTCTGGGGATGGAACACAGGGCCTCATGCATAATAGGCAAGCACTCTACCTCAAAGCTTCGTACCCAGCCCTAAACTTGAGTAACTTGATTATTTTCTCATCCATAACATGGGGATACTAATTCTGTCTACCTCATATGGTTGTGTCCTTGGTCCATTTTCTGCAGCCAGAACAGAATACCTGAGACTGGCTAACTTATAAAAAAAAAAATCAGAAATTTATTTCTCACAGTTCTGGAGGCTGGGAAGTCCAAGGTCAAGGTGTAGTCAGGTTTAGTTGTCACATCCTTCCAGAAGAGAGCAATATTGTGTCCTCACATGGTGGAAAGCAGTAGAAGAGCGAGCTGACCAAGCAGCTGCCTGAAATCTCCTTTACCAAGGCTAGTCCCATGGACAGGAAGGAGCCCTCTTGGCTCAACACCTCTTAGAGGCCCCACCTCTTAAAATTCCAACATTGGCAACACCTGAATTTTGGAGGAGACCATTCTAACCATGGCAAGTTGTGATAACTGACAACTTCCCCTCTTACCAACATACTACAAATCCACATACATGAGTGGTTTTCCTCCCTTCTCTTTTTCTTTTAAATAAAAGATTCACATTAACTTGATTTTTTATGTTAATACTGTATTCTGGATATCTTTCTGCGTTCCTTTTTTTCTTCCTTTTTAGTGGTACATGGGGATTGAACCCAGGGTCTTGCGCATACTAGGCAAGCACTCTACCACTGAGTTGCACCCCCAATGCCTCTCTCTCTCTCTCTTTTTTTTTTTTTTTGGTACTGGGGATGGAACACAGTGGGGCTCAACCACTGAAGCACATCTCCAGCCTTTTAAATTTTTTATTTAGAAACAGGGTCTTGCTGAGTTGCTTAGGGCCTTGCTAAGTTGCTGAGGCTGGCTTTGAACTTGCAGTCCTCCTGCCTCAGCCTCCCCAGCCACTGGGATTACAGGTGTGTGCCACCGTGCCCTGGATTTCTCATTACCAGCAAAATATTCTGTAATATAGATATAGCCACAGTTTATTCAAATGTCCCCCTTATAGACATCCAGGTTATATCCAGTTTTTGCCAATGAAAACAATGGTGTAGTACACATACATCCTTGGTGAGCTAGATTCAGCCTGATTATTTTTCCAAAAGGCTGAGGTAACTCATTTTCTCACCAGGAATGTGCTAGTTTTCCTACAATCTTAATAGCCCTCAATCTTATTTGTCTTAATTTCTTCTTCTTCTTTTTCTTCTTCTTCTTCTTTTCTTTCTTTTCTTTTTTTTTTTTTTTTTTTTTTGCCAGTCTCTTGGGTAAATATATCTCATTTTGATTGGCTTTTCTTGGCAGGCCAGACAGAGCAGCTTTTCATTTGTTTATTGCCATTTGCATTTCCTCTGTGAATGGCTGTTCATATCCTTGACCCACTTTTCTCTAGCATCATCTCTCTTTTTTTTGTTTAGTCTTTGGGAGTTTAACTCCTTGAGATAAGAATTGCTGTTTTCTCCTATTGACTTTGTTTCTGGTACCTTCTGCTAACCCAATTTTTTATTTTTATGAGGCTTTCCCTGTCAAACTTTTCCTTCATGGCTTCTGAATTTCTAGTCTTTCTTTAAAAATATTCTGTGCTCTGAAGTTATACAAATTCTCCCTTTCCTTCTCCACTATTTTAACAGTTTTATTTAAAAACATTTAGAGCTCCAAGCTGGGCACAATGGCATATGCCTGTGATCCCAGCAACACAGGAAGCTGAGTGAGGCAGGAGGATTGCAACTCCAAAGCCAGCCTCAACAACTTAGTGAATCCCCAAGCAACTTAGAGAGACCCTGTCTCCAAAAATTTTTTTAAAAAGCTGGGGAGGGGGGAGTGGTGCAAGGCGGGGAGGCCACTGGGTATGTGGCTCAGATTTATTATTAAATCAGCTGCTGATTTCTCACTGAATCAAAATGCCTCCTTTAGTCATTGTTTTTTGTTGTTATTGTTTGTTTGTTTATTTATTTATTAGTTAAGCAATCCTGTATTCAATCCCTGGTACCAAAAACAAACAAACAAATTTAAAAAAAAAATTTAGCACTTCAATCCACCTGAAATTATTGCCGAATGCCGTAAGTTTATGGGGTAACTGAAAACAAAACTATTTTATTGGGGAAGGGGATGTGGTTCAGTGGTAGAGAGCTTATTTAGCAAAAAAAGGCCCTAGTTCTGCTCCCCCCCCACACAAAAAAAGTAGAATACTAAGTGAATTTTTCACTTATTCAGCACCTAGATCAAGAAATAGAAGCCAGGTGAGGTGGCACATGCCTGTAATCCCAGTGGCTCGGGAGGCTGACAGGAGGATGGCGAATTCGAAGTCAGTCTCAGCAAAAGCAAGGGGCTAAGCAACTCAGTGAGACCCTGTCTCTAAATAAAATACAGAATAGGTCTGGGGATGTGGCTCAGTGGTGGAGTGCCCCTGAGTTCAACCCCAATACCAAAAAAAAAATAAAAGAATGTCACCAGCACCCTGGAATTCCCACTGTGCCCTTCTATCACTGCCTGCTGACAAGGGTAACCACTCTACGGACTTCTAACATCTACATTAGTTTTAGGGGGAACCATTTTATTTTCATGCAAGTGGCTAACTAAATACACCAATATCATTTATTTATTTATTAAATCAGCTGCTGATTTCTCACTGAATCAAAATGCCTCCTTTAGTAATTTTTTGTTTATTTATTTTTTAGTTGTAGTTGGACACAATACCTTTATTTTATGTATTTTTATGTGGTGCTGAGGATCGAATCCAGGGCCTCGAACTTGCTAGGCAAGTGCTCTTCTGCTGCACCACAACCCCAGCCCTGTTGTTGTTATTGTTGATGTTTTATTTTTTTCTTCTGGGAATTGAACTCGGGTCCCAGACATGGGATACACACACACTATCCTGAGCTACACCCCTCGCCCCATTTGCTGCTACTTTTATTTCTGGCCGCAGGGGATGGTACTGTGATTTGAATGTTCTCACCAAGACTCATATTGAAATTTAATCCTCATCATAAGGTGTTAAGTGGTGGGACCAGGTGGAACTTTGGCCAGGTGGTTGGGTCATGAGGCGTCTGTCCTCACCAGTAGATTAAGCCACTCATGGACTAATGAATCAGTGGATTAATGGATTACTATATGTCCACTATAAAAGCCAGTTTGGCTCTGTCTTGTCATGCATTGCCCTGCACCATTTTAGGACTCTGTATAGAGTTCCTGCCAGCAAGAAGGCCTGCAATAGATGCAGCCCCTCAGCCTCCCAGCCTCTAGAACTGTGAGCTGAATAAACCTCTTTCATAAATTACTCTCCATCTCAGACTGAGATGGAGAGTAATAATGTAATGACCTCTTCCTTTATGGTCCTCTGCTCCCCTACAGTTCAGGCTTTGCTGGTTGGTACAGGTGGAGCATATCTAATTAAAATCTGAAAACAGAAATGCTCCAAAATCTGAAACTTTGTTTTTGAGGGCCAACATGATGTTCAAAAAGCCTTGGGTTTTGGAGCCTTCTGGATTTCTAATTTGGGGGAAGGGTGTCCAACTAATAAAGTCTAAGCAAATATTCCAAAACCTGAAAAACTCTGAAATCCGAAACAAGCATTTCAGATAAGGGATACTTACCCAGTAATGTCTTGTGTGTGTGTCTTAAGTAGTCAGAAGAGCCCTGATTGTACTGGCCCACTCCGAGAGGACATCCTTCAACTACGCCATGAAAGAGGCTGCTTCAGAGGTTCTAAAAAGGAATGGATGGGAGGTGGCCGAGTCCGACCTCTATGCCATGAACTTCAATCCCATCATTTCCAGAAAGGACATCACAGGTAGGAGCTACCCCTCCCCCTTTAATTAGTTCTTTATGAAACCATTTGCCTGTGGACTCCCTGGACCAGCCTTGGCCCCTCTGGCCTCAGCCTCTCTTGTTCCTCTTGGCAGGTAAACTTAAGGACCCCGAGAAATTCCAGTATACTGTCGAATCTTGTCTAGCGTATAAAGAAGGCTGCCTGAGCCCAGATATTGTGGCTGAACAAAAGAAACTGGAAGCTGCTGACCTTGTGATATTTCAGGTATAGTAGGGACAGGACATCAGAAGCATAGTTGGGCACAGCAGTGCACATCTGTAATCCCAGCTACTCAGGAGGCTGAGGTAGGAGAATCCAAGTTTGAGTCCAGTGTGGGGAACTCAGTGAGACCCCCATCGAAACAAAATAAAAAGGGCTGGAGCTAGAACACTTGCCTACCATGGGTAGTGACACTTTTGTCTTTTCCTAGACCTGTCACTTAATTAGCTGTGGAAAATCGAACAGTCACTTACCCCCATTGCTGCATTCTCTGTGAATAAAGGTGATTGCTTTATAGGTGCTATATAACACAGATCCACAGATACTGTGAACCTGGCTGTATTGCTCTTTGCACTTGGGAATGTGAGAACAACAGATAAGCCTTCCATTTGTTTTCTCCAATATACCTAATCTTCCCTTCATTTAGTGGTTCCTGATGGACTCTCCCAAAATTTGCAATTCTCCCATCTCTTCATGAGAATCCCAAACAGGTTGCCCGGTGACTTCTCTGCTGGTACAGTGTCCCAGCTCTGGCCCTGCTGGATGCGATCCTGCAGCACACTGTGGCTTTTCTTCTCCCCAAAGCCATCTCATTGTTTAGCAGACAACACTGGATGGTGGGTGTGTCCATCCTGTCAGTATCTTCCCTGTAAGCCAGACTCCATTTCAATGACTTTGCTGTTACCAATTCCTACCTGCCCTTTGATACTGAGTATGGAGAGTACCTGGCTCTGGAAACCTCACAAGGAAGGTGGTACTGGCTTAGTTTTCACAGTGATTCAGTCACTGTGAAACAACCAAACCTTAGAGTCCAAACTACCAAACAGCACTGAGGGTAATGTAAATACTGCAGATTTGTGTATTTATTATAACAGTTTTATGAAAGATATCAGGTAAAGTCTTATTCTGGCAAAATCAGTATACTATGGCAGTCTTTTTTTTTGGCGGGGGGGCACTGAGGATTGAACTCAGGGGCACTCAACCACTAAGCCACACCCCAGCCCTATTTTGTATTTTATTTAGAGACAGCAAGCCTCACTTTTTGCTGAGGCTGGCTTTGAACTCACAATCCTCCTGTCTCAGCCTCCCAAGCTGCTGGGATTACAGGTGTGTGCCACTGCGACCGGCTAGCAGTCTTTTTCTTTTTAAGGTACTGGGGATTAAACCCAGGGGCACTTTGCCACTAGGATACACCCTCAGCCCTTTTCTTTTTTATTTTGAGAGAGGGTATAACTAAGTTGCTGAGACTGGCTTTGAACTTGTAATTCTCCTGCCTCAGCCTGAGTTACTGGGATTTCAGATGTGTACCACCACACTGCCTGGCTTATCTGACCTCTTGCCCTGACAAAAGCAGAGTAAGGAATATATAAGTATTTCTCCTTTAAAAAAATTATTTTTTAGTTGTAGTTCCGACACAATACCCTTACTTTATTTATGTGGTGGTGAGGATCAAACCCAGGGCCTTGCACATGAGCCACAACCCCAGCCCTAAGTATTTCTTCTGATTCATGATTTAAATATATGATAACTTAGTTGGGCATGGTAGTGCATGCCTGTAATAAAATAAAAAGGGCCAGGGATGTGGCTCAGTGGTTCAATCCCTGATTTAAAAAAAAAAAAAAAGACAAGATTTTCTCATGGGAATTTCCTGATAAATCTTACACTGACCATTTGTTTGCATTTTAGTGGTTTTATTTATTCTAAATGATAGGATTTTATGTAGATGTGCACAAGGAATAGTCATATTTTTGGTACTACACCTATTAGTGTAAATTCTTGGGGAAATACTGATTTAGGCATCACACATTGAAACAAATCTTGTCTGAAATCCTTGCTATTTAGAGTTTGCTGCCAAGTGTGATTTCACAAAAATGAATCTTATTTGCATATGGCTTTATTCAGATCCAGCCAATATTTACATTTTTAAGCAGAAACCATAATGCCAAGTTGGCTGAGCAAGGACAATAATTTTCTTGTTATTCTATGAGTTTCCTGCTACCATATGTATTTATTTTTAAGTATTTATTTGTTTTATGACAGGGGTCTCACTGTGTTGTCCAGGCTGGCCTCTAACTCCCTAGCTCAAGCAGTCCTCCCACATTAGCCTCCTGACCTAAAAAGCACACACCACTGAACCCTGCCAATTTTCTCTTTTCTTAAATGTGCTAACTCCTCCAGAGGAAATGATAAAAGCCAGCGCTCTGAGACTTCTTCTGTGTGGAACCTGGTTTGACCTCTTTAATGTCTTCTGTTCCCAGTTTCCACTGCAGTGGTTTGGAGTCCCTGCCATACTGAAAGGCTGGTTTGAGCGAGTGTTGGTAGGAGAGTTTGCCTACACATATGCTGCCATGTATGACAAGGGGCCTTTCCGGGTAGGTGAACGGTTCTGAGTTTTCTAATAGCTGGATTCTGGGTGGATTCTATCCTGAGGCAAAACTTAGTACAACCAGACACTAAGGTCAGGCTCTAGGTCCTTTGGGAGAAATGCATGACTAGGCTTTTATGATGAAATGATATGATGTTTGGAATTTGTTTTAAAATATTCCAGAAAAAAAGAGTTTAGGGGATTAAATAAAACCAAAATTAGGGGGGTGTCTAGGGAAGTGACTCAGTGGTAGAGCTACTTGCCTAGCATGTGTGAGGCTGTGGGTGCAATCCCCAGTACTGCAAAAATGAATAAATAATGTTTGTCTTCTTTTGGAGACCCAAATACTGCACAAGAAATATTTTGATATTTTTATGTGAAAGATCTTATCCTAATCCATGCCCAGCACTGTAGGGAGACAGATTAAAAACAACAAATAACTCCACTGAGGCAGCCAACACAGATTTTGGTGACTACTGACAGCTTTAACCTATGGTCACATGCAGGTGGGGGAAACCCTTGGCTTGCCCTGGTTATCTGTCTGTAGACCATCTAGGCTGGATCTTCTACAGAGTCATGCTGGGAGGGTCAGAGGAGCCAAAGTATGAAAGAGTACACACCATGAACAGGGTGGGCCCGTGTGGCCCCCTCCCTAGGGCTGTCTCATTCATTTACTGTGACCAAACAGAGGAGGGGTGACGAGCTTGTTTTCTTTTTTTCACAGAATAAGAAGGCCATCCTTTCCATCACCACTGGTGGTAGTGGCTCCATGTACTCCCTTCATGGTGTCCACGGGGACATGAACATCATTCTCTGGCCAATTCAGGTACTTTGTTCTCAATGAACCTTCAGGGGAATTCATTAATGGAGCTTTCCATGGGTTCCAAAGCCTCCAGATAGTAGCTGAAGATAGATATGAGGTATGGAGATAAAAGTGTAGTAACAGCCGTATGTCATGGTGTATGCCTGTCATCCAGCTATTCAGGAGGCCCAAGCAGGAGGATCTCAAGTTCAAGACCAGGTAGACAATACAGTGAGACCCATCTTAAAAAAAAAAAAGAAAGAAAGAAAAGAAAGAAAAAAGCATGGCAGTGATTGAGAACTGCTGGCAGTTCCCTTTAGGAACTTACCTGACTTTCCAGGCACCTGCGTTTATAGCTTGTACACACATGATCAAACATCATTCTCTCCTAACCAAGAACTAGTGCACATGGGCTGAGCCCAGAATCCTGGTTCTCTCTGGATGACTCACATCTCTCTCTAATCTTCCTGGCCTTCTCCAAGTTTCTCCTACAGTCTCACAAACTAAGAGAGCCTAGGACAATTTAAGAAATGATTCAGTCTAGCCTGTTTTAGAGATAAATAAAACTGAAGCCTGAGGTGGCTTTTTGGTATCACTGGATTCTCAAGGTAATCTATTCCAAGAAAAGGGGTGGAGAGGAGAGCAAGTGAAGTGACCACCTGGAAAATAATTTATTACTACCCATCTTGTTTGTGGAGAGGTGGAGAAATGCACATCGGCAAGAGTCAGCAGCCAAGAAGCTGAAACTCTCTCTAATGTAATAGAATTTCCGGCACTTTTGGCAGAGGATCCAGGTTGGCACACTTTCAAGGTTTTATTCTTTTAAAGAGCATAGGTGTTTAGGCTCAGATAGGTAACACCTAGGTAGGGAGGGAAGAAGGTGAGAATATAATTATAATTCTCCAGGGCACCTCTGACCTCCTTACTGAAGTCTCACTGGGAAGCCCAGACCAAAGTTTGGTGTTTTTGTTTTTACTGTACAAACTGCATAGAATTGGTCTGTTACTTACCTCTGTGTTTCATGTTTCCCCAGAGTGGTACTCTGCATTTTTGTGGCTTCCAAGTCTTAGAACCACAACTGACATATAGCATTGGGCACCTTCCACAAGATGCCCGAACTCAGGTCCTGGAAGGATGGAAGAAACGCCTGGAGAACATTTGGGATGAAACACCACTGTATTTTGCTCCAAGCAGCCTCTTTGACCTGGACTTCCAGACAGGATTTTTATTGAAAAAAGAGGTTCAAGATGAGCAGAAAAACAAGAAATTTGGCCTTTCTGTGGGCCATCACCTGGGCAAGTCCATTCCAACTGACAACCAGATCAAAGCCAGAAAATAAGATTCAATAAGACTTGATTTCTAGGATTTTTTTTTCTTTTAGTTTCATGGATTGCTTTAGTTTTTAAGATTTAGATTTTTCTCTTTTTTTCCTCACAAAGAATGAAAAGGAGAAGAAATAGACTGCATTTATATATTTTTGGATCATTTTTCTATTATATGCAACTGATTCTTAATGGTTGTTATCATGACATATAACCAAAATATGATTAGGTGCCAGAAGCCACTTGGAATGTAGAGAGAAAAGTATAGATAGATGGTAGATACTAGAAAATATTCTTTAAGGTCATATACACAATTTAATTCCCTTTTAAAGGGCTAAATGGCTAGATAACATCCAATTCTCTAAAGATAACTTTCTTTTAATTACCTCTCTGTGGTTTATGGCAGAAGGGAATTGCTTAGAGAAACAAGTGACTGAATCCCTGTAGCCTAAGGAACTGAACTTGCTTACTAGTTAGCATTAGCTTGTTTATGATACATATTGGTTTCAGTTACTTCACAGTGACTAATGCACCTAATGTATTACTCTTCCTTCAGCTTCTGTTTATATATAGTACACAGATTCGTTGAAATGAGTAGTTAATAAAAGTCTCTTCTTTACATCAATCTTCTAATTCAGTGTTTGCAGAAATCAGCATTTTCACAACCTACACCTACTCTGAGTGAATTTAAAAAAGGAAATAGTACCTTCAATAGTTAACAGTAGCCTTCCACAAAAACGAAAAAAAAAAAGACCAAAATTTTATTTCTGATCTTTTAGACTTCCAAAAGGTTATTTTCTGTGTCATTGCTAAAATTATGACTTTCTTTTGAAGGATATTTTTTGTTTTGTTTTGTTTTGTCTTGGCACTGGGGATTGAACCCAGGGATGCTTACCACTGAGCTACATCCCGGCCACCCCCTCTTTTTTTAAAATTTTCTTTTTAGTTGTAGATTGACACAATACCTTTATTTTATTTATTTTTATGTGGTGCTGAGGATCAGACCCAGTGCCTCACACATGCTAAGTAAATGCTCCACCACTGAACTGTAACCGGAGTCCTACCCAGTCCTTTTTTTTTTTTTTATTTAGAGACAAATTGCTGAGGTTGGCCTTGAACTTGCAATTATCCTGCTTCAGCTTCCTCAGTAGCTGGGATTACAAGAAAATGTACCCCCACACCTACTAAAGATGTTTTTATCCATGACTTTTGGGCTAGAGTTGTAGGCCTAGAGTTATTAACTTTGATGAATAATTTTGGTGTAGAATTTATTTATTTTTTGATGTTGGGGATCGAACCCAGGGCCATATGCATGTTAAGCAGCAAGTGTTCTACCAAACTATGTTCCCAGCCCCCGATTTAGATATAATAAATTTCCCATTTAAATTATTGAAATGCATCTCTTCCTATTGTTGGCACAACTCAAAGTCAAATATGATAAAAGGCTGCCCTCTTGTGGTGCACTGCAAGAAAAATAAAGAGAAATGATGCAAAAGCAGGTGGCCTGAGAACAGGAAATAAGGGCTGACCTGGTAAGGAAATGATGTCATGGGGACGGATCAGGAGAAATTCCTTCACCAGATGCAGACTACCACTGGATGTCTGCTCCTCAACAACATCCACAATGCCAGATGGCTAGGTGTTTTAGTGTGAAATTGTTTTCCGTTGCTTTCCTCATCACTGCAATTTTGTGTAAATTTCTGAACGTTCTAAATTAAATCAATAAAATTCATTTTTACAAAAGAGACTTTTTTTTTTTTTTTTTAAACAAAACATACTTACTGGTACCAGTGAAGATAATATTAGAGACATCCAGGCCAACATGAAATGTACTGGAAGATGGGATGTGAGAGGGTTCAACAAGAAATTACAGCAGGGATGCTTCACACTGAAAGGCCATGGAACAACCTATTCTGATCCTCTCAGGAAATTTCAAAGACATTGAAAAGAGCCAAAAGAGTGGGGGTAGATATCAAGTAGAATTATTGGGCATTCGCCTGTGATCCCAGGTAACTTGGAAGGCTGACGCAGGATAATTGAAATTTCAAGGCCAGCTTGGGCAAGCCTATCTCGAAAACCAACAAATCAAGAATGGTAGCATATGCCTGAAATCCCAGTGGCTTGGGAAGGTGAGGCAGGAGGACCACAAGTTCAAAGCAGCCTCAGCAACTTATCGAGGCCCTAATTAACTTGGACTGTTTCAAAATTAAAAATTAAAAAAAAAAAAAGCACTGGGGATGTGTTTCAGTGGTTAAGTGCCCTGATTTCAATCCCGGGTACCAAACACAACTGAAAAAAAGAAATAAAGGAAAAACAGGCTATAAACAAATGCCTTAGGGTAAGTTATCTATTTTGATTTGTTCAACCAACAGGCTCATCACTCTTTTAGGCACTAGGGACTAAGCAGTGAATTAAGTGCTTGTCCTCTGGAATTGCATTCTTGTGAAGAAAGGTATTTAACAAATGTATCAGGTGGTGAAAAATGCTCAGAAGTAAAAGAGGGCATAGGGATGGGATAGAGGGATAAAGGGAGTTTTATTTTATATAGGACAATCAAAAAAAAAAAAAAAAACTTTTCCAAAGCCAGGCACAGCTTTATTTATGATCCCAGGAAGATCATAAATTCAAAGGCAGCATCAGCAATTTAGCAAGGCCCTATGTAACTTAGCAAGAACTTGTCTCAAAATTAAAAAAAAAAAAAAGAGGCTGGGGATGTGGCTCAGTGGCTAAGCACCCATGGGTTCAATCCCCAGCACCAAAAAACATGAATGAATAAATAAATACAAACCTTTCCCATAAGACCACACTTGAGTAAAGACTTGATAAAGTGAGAATGAGAAGTGAAACAATAACTATGTGAAGTGCCATCCAGGCGGGATGGATGACCAGTGTAAACCCTGGAGGCAGGAGCCTGCAGAGTCATGTTTTGTTTGTTTTTTGTTTTGGGGTAATGGGGATTTAACTTAGGGATACAATGACTGATCCATGTCCCCAGCCCTATTTTGTATTTTATTTAGAGACAGGGTCTCACTGAATTGCTTAGCAAGCCTCACATTTTGCTGAGGCTAGCTTTAAACTCACGATCCTCCCGTCTTCCAAAGGCTGTCCCAAGCCTTTGGAATAATAGGTGTGCACCACCAAGCCTGGCCAGAGTCCTGTTTGAGACAGAGAAAGGGGGAAATTGGCAGGTCAGCCAATAGCTGAGGTCAAGAGCACATAGACCCTTACAAGCAATTTAAGAATAAGGATAGGAAGTCCATGAGGGTTTTGAGCAGAGGGTAACAGATCTGACTTTTGTTTAAAAGGGTAATTCTGATTAGTAAGTGAGGCATTAAATGGAAAAGCAAGGATAGAATCAAGGAGACTTGCTGAGTTGTTGTTGCAATAATCTGGGCAACAAATGCTCTGGACTAGGGTTATAGCAATAGTTGTGTTGAGCAGTAGATATATTTCAAAGGTTGGGGTTACAGAATTTGATAATGGAAGGGGATATATGATCAAATAAAATTATTTATTTGGTTTTTAAAAAGACGAGACAGCAAATTTACATGCCAATGGGAAAACAGAAAGTTTTGATGCTGAAGATACTTCAAAGAATATCTTTCAAAAGATATTCTTTGCTTGTATAAAGCAAAACTATATAGTATTTAGTGCAAAGAGCGATTAGGACTAGTGATACTAATTCAAGGTAAGACTTATAAGAGTAATTCAACATGGATTAACTTGCTTAACTCTTGAACCAACCCTATGAGGAGGGCTTTCCACTGTTCCCACTTTATAAAAAAGGAAATTGAGGAATGGAGGTTACACAGTAGGGTGTGGGAACACAGGCTCAACCTACAAGTAGGTAAACTCAAGAACTGGGAAACAAGGCTCAACATATAGTTGGGTAAACTCAAGAGCTCGTGTTTTTACATACTAGAATGCATCAGCAGAAGCAGAGATGATGGTGTCATGAATTACAGCACAAGAGTACCAATCAGTACTTCTTTTGTAAGCTTCTGTGGCTGCTGAGAATCTTACAAGATGACAGAGGAGGATTCTTAGCACCTTGTGGATTAAAACTGAACAGTTAGGTGAAGGAGATGGGGGAAGAGGATGAAGAAGTACTGGGGAACACAATCTATCAAATTATGTTATATTGATGTACAAATATACCACAATGAATCCTTATTTAGACATGTAATATATACACAATCACAATGCATTAATTAAAATAATAATAATGGAAGGGAGGTCAGTAGAATACAGCAAGTGGATCAAGGGAGGGAAGAGAGAGAAAGGGAAGATACTGGGGAATGAGACTGATCAAATTGTTATGTACATGTATGAACACTGCATAATGAATCTCACTGTCTGGTATAATTATAATGCACCAATAAAACAACTGGAAAATTACCTTTCTTATTTTGGACACAGCGCTTAAATTGTGTAACAAGAAATTGCATAAGCATTTTTGGCAGCCACGATCCCTTATAATCCCATCTTTGGATCAGTGTTCTGCCCACATATGCTATTTTTTGGATCAAAGTATAATTTTATATTTGTATTTATCAAATTTCATTATTACTCCTTTTTAATATTGTTGGAAGTCAATAAATACTGACATAAAACTTACTTAGGGGGCTGGGGATGTGGCTCAAGTGGTAGCGCGCTTGCCTGGCATGCGTGTGGCCCGGGTTCGATCCTCAGCACCACATACAAACAAAGACGTTGTGTCCGCTGAAAACCAAAAAATACATACTTTCTCTCTTTAAAAAAACAAAAAGAAAAACCTTATTTAAAAAAAAAAATAAAATAAAACTTACTTAGGCAACTTTTTACTTTCTTTTTTTTTTTGTATGTGTGTATGGTGCTAGGGATTGAACCCAGGGCTTTATGCCTTAGAGGCAAGCACTCTACCAACTAAGCTATATCCCCAGCCCCAAAGGGCAACATTTTTGAAATACACATATGGCCTCCTAAATGGCAACTCAATTAGATGTATACATTTGAATGTAATAAAATTATCTATATTTGAAAAGATATAAGCATAATGTCTAAAGCAGTATCTCTTAAGCTTGTTTTGTTTATTTGCAGTGTTGGGGATTGAACCCAGGGCCCTGCACAGGTTAGGCAGGTATTCTATATATATACTAAGCTACATCCCCAGCTCCTTTATTTCAAATATTTTTTAGTTGTAGTTGGACACAATACCTCTATCTATCTATCTATCTAATCTATCTATGGTGCTGAGTATCGAATCCAGGGCTCCTGCATGTGCTAGTCACGTATTCTACCGTTGAGCCACAACCCCAGCCCTCACCAGTCAGTTCCTTTTAAACAAAATTTTATTTTTAGAAAGGTCTTGTTAAGTTACCCAGGCTGACCTTGAATTTGCAATCCTGCCTCAGCCTCCTGAGGCAATTATAAGTATGCACCTAGCTTAAGCTTTTTTACATACTATGTTCATGATATACATGTATCCTCTATAGTACAAATAAAGTTTTTCTTATAATCTGGTAGGTATTCTTTTCAGTGATAGGGATAGATCCCAGGGCCCCACACATGCTAAGTACTCTACCTCAGAGCTACATACTCAGCCCATTATTACACATAAATTTTTTTTTTAGAGGGAATTTTAATATTTATTTTTCATTTTTTTCCAGTGGACACAACATCTTTGTTTGTATGTGGTGCTGAGGATCGAACCCGGGCCACACGCATGCCAGGCGAGCGCGCTACCACTTGAGCCACATCCCCAGCCCCGTTTTTTTTTTTTTTAGTTTTTTTTAGGTTTAGGTGGACATATTTTTTTTTTTTTGTACTGGGAATGAACTCAGGGGCACTCGACTACTGAGCCAATCCCTAGCCCTATTTTGTACTTTATTTAGAGATAGGGTCTCACTGAGTTGCTTAGCGCCTGCCTTTTCTTTTATTTGTTTAGTTTTTTAGGTGGACACAATATCTTTATTTTTATGTGGTGCTGAGGATCAAACCCAGTGCCTCACACATGCCAGGTGAGCACGCTACCACTTGAGCCACATCTCCAGCCCCAGCACCTGCCTTTTCTGAGACTTGCTTTGAACTTGAAAAAATCCTCCTGACTCAGCCTCAGGATCCACTGGGATTACAGGCATATGCCACCACGCCCAGCATTTTATTTTATTTTTATGTGGTGCTGAGGATCAAACCCAGTGCCTCATGCATGTTAGATGGGCACTCTACTACTGAGCCACAACCCCAGCCAACATAAATGTTTTTTTAAAAAAAATTATTATTATTATTTTTAAGTTGTAGATGGACACAATACCTTTATTTTTATGTGGTGCTGAGGATCAAACCCCGTGCCTCACACATGCTAGGTAAGCGCTCTACCACTGAGCTACATACAACTCCAGCCCCCAAAGCTCATTGACTTGTTTCTATTTTTTGGTACTAGGGATTGAACCCAGGGTTGTTCTATGACTGAACTACATCCCTACTCCTTTGTATTTTGAGACTGAGTCTTCAGGTGGGCACAAAGTAACTATTCAAGAAAATTTCTATATTTCATATCTTTCCACATGTCTCAGCTTCCCACTATGATTACAGGTGTGCCACTGGGCCTGGCTGAAATCCTTGAGTACAACTAGTAGCAATATGTATCACACTCTGGTAAACAATAATTTATATATACGGAAATAACTACCAAAAGAATAAAAAGGGATTACCTCTGGGTATGGGACTGAAGAGTAGGGAAACTTGGTTTTCATCAACAGTACCTTCATGTGTATGTACTGCTTTATTAAACATAAAACATTTAGCTGGGCATGTGGCTTATGCCTATAATCCCAGCTATTCAGGAGGCCGAGGCAAGAGGATCACAAGTCCAAGACCAGCCTAAACAATTTAGGGACACCCTGTCTACAAATAAAAAAATACAAGGACTGGGGATATAGCTCAATGATAAAGGAACCCTTGGGTTCAATTTTCAGTACCAGACAAACTAAATATAAAACATTTAAACTAAGAAAAACAAACATAAAAATTCTGTCATACTGTCATTTGTACTCTGCCTAGCAAAATATATGATAGGCACAAAATAACTACTCAAGAAGATTTCTATATCTCATATACCTTTCCTAATGATTTAATAATTTCAACCACATATTCATGTTCTCAAAATTGACATTCACGCGCACACACATAATTATGAGGAAAAAAAAGAATGTTACCCACTGCAAAATGAAAACTTTCATTTTTTATTTTTGACTGCAGCTGTTTACAGAAATATAGTTGCGAGTATACAAATGTTCCAATAGAAGCAAAATATCTTTTTAATATTTAACAAGTTATCACAGATAGCTAAAAACGCAGATGCAAATGAAATTCCCCCAGAGAACAAACTGAAAATATCTGGTGTCAGTGCTCTGAAATCCCAACTATGAAAGCCATATACACAAAAATGTAACCTTTATATCATTGCAGGACAATGGAAGAAGGCAGTTCAGTGGTTGATCAGTGTGCTCAAGCAAATACAATTAAAAATTTTAATGGCAGAATGGTAGCTAAACCACTTCAGAACAAATTATTGAAATATTTGTAGTACATTTATTAAGAGACTAAGAAGTGAATGAAACTCAGTAAAAGTTGTGCAAAAAGTAGCAACCACTTGGAGCTTATCATTAGATGTAAGGAAATGAGGTGAGCAGATACATTCATTAGATCAAAAGAAATTAGCTCAAGTTCATTTGAATTGGTTTATAATCAGTAAGGTCACAATGATTTCAGTGCAGGACAGTTCTTTATTGGACACAGAAATATGATTCCAAATCCACCTTCAAATATCTGAGATCTGTGTGTGTGCGTGCGTGCATGTGTGTGTTGTCCTGAGGTTCATTAGCTAAAGTAAGAAGCAGCAACAAGCAGTCCCTAAAACCAGGCAATGACTTATGCGTGGGTTGTGTGTGTGTGTGTGTGTGTGTGTGTATGTGTGTGAACTGATGTGAGTGAGCAAGTGGGATGATATGGTTAAATAGAATTTTTAAAGGATGTATCACAAATTGGGGTTGAACAGAATTGTGGTAGAATGCTTTGGGTACAGGAATACATTATGCAATAAGGTGAGGAATAAAAAAGGAGGAATGTAACTAGAGCATCTCCCAACAGTTTGCCTATGTATTTGCCAGCACCATGTATAGAGTAAGCCACTTCATTTCCACTGCTACTGTTATGGAAAGACAGCAGTGGCGAATTTTAGAAGTGAATATACATTTAGTTTTATACTGAAAAGTTAATTTTTGTTTCAGGAATTAATTAATTGGTGATTTGTAAACAGTGAGTTTAGAGTAATTATGGAGGTACTGAATTACACAAGGAAATAAAAATGAATAAATCTATTTATCTTGTGGTTAGTTTATATTTAACATGATTCATACAACTGGGAAGGGAGAAATGCCCAAATTATACAATGTGTTATCTTATTTAATATTTATCTTAGTAAATAACTCTTACTGAAGCATAAGCTTCTAGAATAGCTATATCTTTAATGTAATATTCTTATACCAAGCAAGCTACTTTTAAAGAAGTTTTACTTATTACAAGTTACATAAGGTGCTATGTTGATCTGGCCAGCCATCTTACTTACTATCTCAGATACAAATATAATAACAAGGAATGATAATTTTGTTCTGAGAGTTGGTCTAGCCAGAGAAAAATTGTGGTCTGCTGGTAAAAGTAAGAGGCAATGAAAATAAAGTTTGTATTACACTGCCCACAATGTACCCATTTTATGGATAAACAGAAGACTTTAGCACCCATCAATTATTTTAGCTACTTAAATGTCAACAATTAAAAAGAAACATAGAACACCGCACCTATATATATTTAAATCAGTCATTTAATGTAAACTTTGTGGTAAGTGGTAGGAAAATGCCAAACTAAGTTAACTGAATTATCAATTACTACACTAATTGCATATGTACATAAAATGTGTATTTTATAGGCAACTAAGAATTATCATTGCCAATAAATGATTACAGGTAATCATGTTAGGCTAAATTTACATAAATAATAATAATGTATAACTTTATTAGTGGGAAAATAAACTTTCTTGCTCTCACTAGATATCGTTTTTTCCACTGATTCTCAAATTTCAGTGTGCATCAGAATCATTAGGCAAGCTTGTTACAGACTGCTGGGCTTCATTCCAGAATTCCTGATTCAGTATGTCTGGGATATCTAGCTTCCAGCTGATACTGATGCTAGCTGGTGGGCTGAGGACTATATTTTGAGAACCACTGGTTTACATAAACTATACTTATAGAAAACTATACACTAAAATGTTCCTATATACATGACACAAAATATACAGGAAGGGGGTTAGTTTTAGTTTTAATTAACTCTCAAATATATAGGTTAAAATGATGTGCTAAAGTGTAGTAATTTCTCCCTATAGTTACATTTCAAAATCTTAAAACCTACTATAAAGTCAATTTAGAAAATATCCACATACCAAGTCAGCTATCCAAAATAAAAAGGGACAGAGTATTCTAAATAGTTCAAGATGTATTCATAAAGAAGGAATCATTACTATGTAGCATTCTTGGCTTCTTTGGAATGATTAAAGTGCATTATGTCAATAGGGCATTAAGAATACTGCATAAAGGTTTGCAGTCTTCAGTGCCACTAACAGTCACAAAATTACCTGCATGGGGAAAGCAGCTCTACTCCAGAGGTACTTCTGTCCTGACCTGTTGCTTGTGGCCCTTTCTTCAAGCACCACCCCATGGTAAGGAGCTGAAACAGAAGTAAAATTAACAAAACCAGGACACTCCAAGTGTATCTTGTAGGAAGGAAATTATCATCTTAGGTCTGAAGGAACTCAATATATAATTTCTTCTGACATTAATTTACTTAAGCAAATAACTGAGGTTCTAATGGGCAAGAAGTAAACTTCTTTGCTGCTTAGTTAAGAAAATTGACATTACCCAACCTCTGTTTTAGTGATTTTATTTCATCATCTAATTAAGATAGGAAAAGATGTTTAAATAGTTCCTTCTTGAAAATTAACTATATACAAAATTTCATTAGTTTTCTGATAAGAACTATTATCAGTTGATTGATATGAAGAATGAAGATATATATATATATATATATTTGTTGTTGTTACTGGGGATTGGACGGACCCAGGGGTGCTACAGTTAATTTATATAAGCCTAAAGAGTATAATTCTGTCATCTTTCATTTACTCTCCCTAAAAGATCGATTCTAGTAATGCCATCTTTTCTGCTATTCTTAAGCCAAAGGAATTTATGAAGTTGTTTTCTATGGTGGTCAAAAAATGGAGGAAAGAATGGCTAAATGGAAAAAGTGAAAGTTGGGACCTATTAAAGTCAGGTTTTTACATGGTTGTGGCAAAGGAAAAATACTATTATAAAAAGGGGGCACTCTTAAGGTAAAAAGGCACTTTTCCATAAACATTTAATCTAGATATAAAATATTAATGTAAAAATATCCTGTAATAGTAAGTAAAAACATAATTTTATCAATAAACAAGGTTTAGAATGGCATGAAATAAAGAGATTAAAAAAAATAACTGGAGTACTGAGACAACTCATGAATGATACATATTACTTTGATATATACTGTGTTATGAACATTATAATCAATTTAGCTCTAATGTCACAAACAGACAGAAGGGAAAACCTCTTCTGAATATGTTATGAGAGTCTACTATTCCTCTTACTAGGGTATATACTCTGAGTTCTTTTTCTTTTTTTGGTGATGCTGGGGATCAAATCCAGGGTCTCTTACCTGCTACCACTGGGTTACAATCTCAGCTCTGAGTTAGTTTCTAATGTATCTGCTGAATTACACACACTTGCTTTTACTGAGTTCTTCCAAATAACCAAAAGCCTACAGATAAGATGGCCATTAGGATGAAACCTATGTTCAAGATACAAAATAAGGGTAACAGGTCTCATGTAATTTTCAACTAGGAAGTAGATATCACAACAGAAATTTTCACCAGAAAAATAAAAATTTCACAGATCACTCCTAGTAAATATTTATAACAATGCTGAATTTAAGAATTTAATTATTAAATCTTTTATTCTGAACTTATATGTTGATGCATCTAACAGATTTCAGTTTTCCAAAACAAACCATTTATAATGGCTGAAAAAATAAAAAAAGAATAATTATAATAGTTCTGGAGGGACACAGATACAATTTCTTCCTCATTTCCTTTGACAGTATTTTTTCCAAGGTTGATTAGCCAAGGTTCTGATGGGTAAGAAATACACTGTAATGAAACTGTAGACTATATAGCACATATGTTATTACAAAAAAGAAAAGAAAAGAAAGGAAGAAAGGATGGAAGGAGAGAAGGATGATCCCTCTATAATAAACAAAGCCCTTTAAAAACCTGTTCTACGGAGACAATAGACTTGCACTGACTAAATAACATGATACTCTAATCACAAAGGTAATAATGATAAAGCTCAGAAGCAAAGTATAACTATTAACTATTTTTTCCCATTGGTTTGGATAAATAATGGAATGGTAATAAGGAATTAAATACACATACAAACACACACACAGAGAGAGAGAGAGAGAGAGAGAGAGAGAGAGATAAGCTCCAAGCATTTATGTGAATTGCTAAAAGCAAGAACAATTCAATGTACCAATACAAAGAAATAAAATGTGGTTCACAGTTTATTTAGGTCCTTCTGCCATAAATAAATTTAATAAATTGTTGTTTCCAAGGTCTTAGCTGGCTTACTGAGTCTCCCTCATGTGTAGCTCTAATTTGTAACAGTAATTTGGAAACAGTAATTAGCACACATATCAACCACTGAGCTAACTCTTCAATAAAGACAAATACTCTTTGTAACCAAATCATATATTCAGAATGTTGTACTTAACATTGACCTTTCGGGGTAAGGAACATTTAACAATGTAAAAAACAAAACAAAACAAAACTATCATTATTGATTAAGAATATGGTAGCATAGCACAGCCCTTGTATAAATAACCACAAGATTTATGAGAATAAAAATTGGGGTTTCTGCCTTCATCCAATCAAACCACTACAGTTCAGGTTTATGTTCTGTTCTAAACTTAGATATTACAAAACAGAAAATTGGTCCCAGTGACTTGGCATTGCCAATCAGCATAAGAATAAAACCCCTTGCTAAACCACAGAACAGACTGAAGTCACCACACAAGCCAGTCTTCTTGCCACTACTTTAGCCATGGTACAGTATTAACAACATTCTAATGGGAACTTGATGAACAAATAGACTTCCTTAGTCTCCTATATGATATCAGAAAAAAATTCACAATATTGAGAAGTAAACATTTTTAAAAAATTTCTACTACTACTATTTTTCTATTTATTCTTTTAATACCTCTGGGTTTGTTTTCTCTGACATTATTCTCTAGGGTTAGAGTTTTACATTTTAAAACAAGCACTGGATTGTGTGGTTGATCCTTCTCACAACCTGAACTATATTTGGTGATTTACTCCTGATAGGGACCTGGGGAAAAGAGATATATTGAGGAAAATACTTTTGGTTCAGAGAATTTATAAAGTAGCTCTGGATATTACAAGATGGGGAAAATGTTATTAAAATTACAAACATAATTTTTTTAGTGTTTTTATAAATAAAAGGCATAGAATACAGAAAGCCAATTAATAATAACAATAACAATAATAAAATATTAAATATATAGTGAGCAAAGACTGAATGGCTCATTCTTATGAAACACCATTTGATACAACTGCCTCAATATGTTTCCTTACTCTTTAACATTTTGCTGAGATCCAGCAAACACACAATAAGCTAGCTGCCTTTAGCCCACTAATAACATCAAGGAACTGCCTGATGGAATGGCTACAGATGAACAGGTCATTTGTTTCAAAAGGTACTTAAATATCTCAATAAAGACATAACAAACCCACCCCCCCTCACTGTTATCAGACGCCACGTTGTGGTAGAACATCAGACAAACTCACAAATTTACCACAAAAATGTGTGGCAAAAAAAGAATAGTTTATATATATGTATATATATAAATTTCTATATTTATGCCAATGTACTCACTCAGTACAAATAGCAAAATAGTATACCATTTCCTAAATACAAAATATAGCTTTCCAAAAAAATGAAACACACATTAGATATAAACCATCCAAAACTTGAACGATTGAAAACTGTATTCAAAATTAAATGACCCAGAGTAGGTCTCTTTCTGAAAAGTTCCCTTCATATCGGCAAGAAGCCTGTACTACTGAAAACGTAATTCAATGCCTCTCAATCAGAGAGAGAAGAGAAAGAAAGAAAGAAAGGGTTTGGGGTGGAAGAAAGAATATATGACAATAAGAGAAAAAAACAAATTAGAAGAGCACATTCAAAGAACAAAAGAAGACCATCATGAAAAGGGGTTATATTTGGCTGTATAAACAAAACCAAACACCATGATTCCACAGTTCAACTAAATATATAGGATAGAAAAAGAACAGAAAAGTAGCCTTTAACAACAATTAACAGGCTATTTTTTTTTTTTTACACTTAAAAGAAAAGGACAAGGATATCAACACACAGAAGCCACACACACGTTGGCCTTACACTGCATTGACAGCTTTCCACAAGCCAAAAGGAAGAAGAGACATAAGCACGTGTCCAGACACAGATGGTAGAAGCAGGCATCCCATGGGTGGCAAGAACACCCAAAACTGTGTAACTAATGCTACAACTGCAAGTTCTGGAGTGTGTTATTTTGCTCTTTATAGATGTAACACGAGTTAATTCTTCATTTTAAGTCAATGATATGACCCTGTAAAGCCTAAGGCTTGTGGGAACCATCAGGTAAGTGACCATTTCAAACTATAAAGCACTGAGGTGACAAGTGAATTATACTCACTGCAGCTCAGGGAGAAGTAACGTTTCAAGAAATTTTAGTTTGCCTTTTTTTTTTTGTAAATGAAAATTTATTCTGTTTTCTATTAGAAGGAAAATTTTAAAGACTTCAGAACAGCACCGTTCATGGAAAAAAAAATACATTGTTTTCTCAGGAATCAACTTCCAATAATTCCTAAAAGAGGACTCCTTGCCCTGTGCTGCAGGATTGCTAGGTCACCCTGAATCAAAATGGCCTTTTCCTTTAAGTTGCTACAGGGTCACAAAGCCAGTAGTGTATTAACAGTTATCTAAAATAAAGTGAAAAATGAGGTGGAAAATAATACAGATGCATATAAAAAGGAAATACCAGCCAAAGACTAGATTAAGAAGAAACAGACTCAGATGACTCTGTCAGTTTAAACTACTGTAGGAGGATATTAGAATATAATTTACCATGTATTACCCCCTTCATTTCTCACAGAGCAAAATAATGATTTTTCTATACAGTTATGGCTAAACCCCTTAGTGAAAACACAGAGAACTAACAACTCTTTGAAAAATAAAATCAATAGCATTCCAGCTGTCTCCATTTTTGTGTGTTATCTGCCTTTGCATTTAATCAAGTCTGTAGAATTTTTATTACAGCTCACTTGTCAGAATGTTACCCCTTCAGTTTCTCCATAAAAACTGAAAAAGATTTCTTCACTTTGGCCAACAGCTGTGCTTTTCATAGTGAAAAAAATCACAGCCTTTATTATTATTGAATTTTACTTTTTTATAAGCCATTACTTGACTAAAATAATGCAGGAAAGAAAATAATGAAGAATAAAAGTAAACATGACAATTATTATTTCCTAATAGCAATAATAACTGAGTGGTCCAGTCTTGAATTTAAATTGTACTCTTTTAAGAGAAATTACAACTAGGAAAATAACAATTCTGTCAGCTGGAAACTCAAATAGATTCTCAGTCATCATTGTTATCAGGAATAAAAAATAAGATGTTAACATTGATGGCTAATCACTGCAACAGGTAGCACAGGTGTGCTCTTTTGCAGTCAGAGTAAAATCTATCCATTTACTCAAGTACAATTTTTCATATTGTTTTGTTTTAGTAATCTTCATAAAACTACAAGTTTGCAGGACATCTTGGAATCACGGTATTCTTCATGGAATTTCTAAAAAAGAAAAAAAAAGTTTTATTACCTCACTAGCAAAGGAAAACATTTATAAAGTGTCACTGGGAATGATTCCAAAGTGAATTACAGTATTATAAATGAATCTTTATCATATTTGTTCTTCAACAAACATCTGTAACTCAGTTTTTGGTTTTTTTTTCAGTGCTGCAGATTGAACCCAGGGCCTGTGCATGTGAGGAAAGCATTCTACCAACTGAGCTATATCCCCAGCTCTTAATATTTTTTGAAGAAAGGAGAAATGAGACATGACCATATTCAATATATAATAAAAGGGAAATACAATTTTCATTCATTAGATATTCTGTCATCCCAAGGTAAAGAAACTTAGAGATAAAAGGAATGCTCAATATTAACAATATAACCATAAACTACCATTCAAATTGCATGGGTTGCTGTTCTTGATTCATTGGGGCCATATAAAAAAAGTGCCATCAGCCAGGCACAGAAGGTGCACACCTGGAATCATAGAGCTTGGAAGGCTGAAGCAGGAAGATCACGAGTTCAAAGCCAGCCTCAGCAACTTAGCAAGGTCCTAAGCAACTTGGTGAGACCCTATCTCAAAAAAAAGGGGTGTGTGTGGGGGTACTGAGGATTGTCGTTTAGTGCTGGGTTCAATACCTAGTACAAAAAAAAAAGTACTATCTTGGAAAAGTCATATTTAAAAAAAGATTTCAAGTCTAAGCAGTGCTATTACTTAAATCAAATCTGTTGAGAAAATAAGTTATTAATCAATATTTTTCAGTAAGATGCCAACATACAATACTTACATATCCAGTTAAAAGGAGCCAGTCAAGTTGTTCCCTTGGTTTTGTAATGAAACAAGCAAATCAATCTTTTCGATGTTCTGGTTGGTGTTCATAGAAGATGCCAGCGGAGAACTCTCTGGCATTTGCTGAGAAAGAAGTGTTGTCACAGGTGACTGTCCCTCGTTTTGTGGTTGGCCTGGCTGACTTATGGCCATCAACTGATCTGGCAATGTAGCTGGTCCAGAGGTTAAAAGCTGACTACAGTCTGCAGAAACATTAAAAACGGAAGCTACCTGATTAGTTAAGGTTCATGAGAAAATATTTATTAGTTAAGAGAAATTCATTACTGTGTTCACCCAGTATATTACTAAAAATGAGGCACCTAACAATCTAAGAAAAAGGTTTTCGCAGAATGGTACTGGAATTTTTCTTAGGTTTCCTCTCTGCAATATAAAAGCTAGATTGCAGGTGGGTCCCACTCTATCTGGCTTGACTGAGATATTATTCATCATTCTTACTGTATTTTCCTTTCAAGGTTATAACTTGAAATGTCAAACGTACATTTTAATATGTTACCACATTTAATTCTCTCAATACCCTTGTCAAGCAAGTAATATTATCACTGTTTTGGATGTGGAAATTAAGGCCCATAAAATTTGTCCACAATCTCACTATCTTTAATTGGTAGAATTTTGTTTTTTACCCCAGTACTGAGGATGAAACCCAGGGGCATTTTTTTTTAAATATTTTTTTTTAGTTGTAGTCGGACACAATGCCTTTATTTTATTTATTGTTATGTGGATCGATCCCAGAGCCTCACATGTGCTAGACGATTGCTCTACCGCTGAGCCACAACCCCAGCCCCGCCAGGGGAACTTTATCAGATATATCAGAGTTATAGCTCTCTTCTTTTTATTATTTTGAGATAGAGTCTTGCTAAGTTGCCAGGGCTGGCCTTGAACTTGCAATTCTCCTACTTCAGCTTCTAGAGTTGTTGGGATTACAGGCATGCACCATTGTGCCAAGCTAATTGGTAGAATTCTAAATATAATCTATGCTTTTAAAACGACTGCATTTTGCTTCCTTCTAATACTAATAATCATTTGACCATTTCAATTGAATAATAAAAAAGTAGAAAAGTTTCTTACTATTCTGAATGCCAAACAGGAACATTCCTGAAGTCTGCTGAGATGAGCCAGGAGAATTTTGTAGTTGGTTCATTGTACCTCCTGCAGTATTGTGAAATAAAGTAGCTTGTGACTGAGGTGAAGATGTGGCTCCTTGGATTCCAGGCATGTTGTTCTGAGGGGAATAAAGAGGAGACTGCTGCATTTCTTGTTGGTTTATACTGGTCTGCAGAGCAGACATGGATGCTGGAGAGAGGAAGAGTGTTACTTGCTGCTCTTGAGAACTAGGTGACCCTTGTACCAACTGAATCTGAGGAGAGCTATGGAATAAGGAAGTCTGTGATGACTCAGATTGATTAGGACCTGGGTTCTGAAGTGAGGAAACTGTGGGCTGATTCTGAAATTGCATGGGTTGCTGTTCTTGATTCATTGGGGCCATATTACTTTGTTGGTGAAAAATTGACTGGCTCTGTTGCTCTTGACTAGCCATTGGATTTTGATTTGGGCTGAATATCATGTTTGGTGGTGGTTGCTTTTGAGATGCTATCGTAGCCATAGTATTCTGATTACTGAATAAAATGCTCTGCTGCTGTTGCTGCTGCTGTTGTTGCTGCTGCTGCTGCTGTTGCTGCTGCTGCTCCTGGGATGAAGAGTTATTCTGCATGGCAACTATTGAGTGTTGTGACTGGAAAATTGCTCCTTGTTGATTTTGAGGCATTGGATTAGGTGGAAGGGAGCCCAAGGACACCTGAGGCTGAAATAAACCTTGCTGGGAAGGTTGTGCCTGTTCTTGGGATAGCATAGGGGTCTGGATATGTGATATTGAAGCCTGCTGTTGGAAAGCAGCTTGCTGTTCAGTGTTTGACGTTGACTGAAGTGGAGAAATTGAGTTCTGTGCTGCAAAAAATGAAATCTGCTCTTCTTGGGATACTGTGTTAGACTGAAGATTATTCATAGAACTTTGGGAAAGAAATATGTTGGGTGACTGCTGGTCTTGTGCAACTGAAGAACCCTGTAACACAGCGATGGTACTCTGAGAGTGAAACATTGGAGACTGCATTTGTTCAGAGGAAGTTGTAGAAGTTTGACTGTGGACAATAGGATTTGGACTATGAAAAATAGAACCTTGAGTTTCCTGGGAAAGGTTTTGAGCATCAGCAATAGGATTCTGAGGATGAAAAAGTTGAGCCTGTGAATGAGAAGACTGCTGCAGAAAATTCCCAGACTGAAGTGACATCATCTCATTCCCTTGCTGGAATAAACCATTACCTTGTTGCTGGGTACTACTATTCTGAACACTCATCATACTTTTTGTTGATGAAAAAAGGTTAACTTGAGGTTGATTGTCCCCGCTATGTTGCATTTGGACCATGGTCTGAAAGACACTGTTCTGAATCTGTTTTGTTTGTGCTCCAGTTTCTTCACCATCTCCTGAACTTGATGTCTGAAACATGGTAGTGCCAGGGGTTGCAACCTGCTGTGTGGTGGTTGTAGATGTTTCATTTCCAGAAACTGCAGGAGGCGAAGAAAACAATTCACATTGCATTTGCATGTCCTCATTGGTAGGTAGTGCACTCATCATATGAGAAGGCTGCTGGTAAACTGGTGACTGTTGAAGGTTTCCATTTGCTGAAGCTGTTGAAGGGAATAACTCTGACTGAATTTGGGCAGCTGCCTGGCAAATGCTCTGCTGCATCTCCATAACCATTGCAGCTGATGATTCCATCACTTGTTGTTGCTGCTGTTGCTGTTGTTGATTTGACAATGTGTTTTCAGTCTGTGGATGAACACTTTCAGCTCTTCCAGGTATTAAATTATCTGGTCTGCTGTGGACTGCGGACTCAGTTGAGGAAAACATGCCAGGGCTTACACTATTTTGAATTTGACTGACTTGTTGAAAAATGTCTGCACTAAGTTGTTCTTGAACATTCTCATTACCATCTGGAGCTGAAAATAAAACTGAAGATAACTGTTGTTGTGCCTCTAAAACTTGTTGGACCAAGTCAACACTTCCACTGCTGCCACTAGTAGTACTTCCTGTAAAACTTCCTGCTTGCAACTGCTGAATAGTATTCTGTAGCTGACTCACACTATTTGGTGATGGAAAAATATTTGATGAAATCTGCTGCTGTAAAGTCTGTGCTTGTTCTTGCAGTGGTGACTGCTGCTGTTGCTGTGACCCCTCAGTGAGTTGTGACAAATTAACTACTGTACCATCTGACTGTAATACTTCTCTAGACTGAGTTTCTCTTGTTTGAAATTGCGTAGCCTGCTGTAGTAGTGCATCACTGCTGGGCAACTGACTAGTTGCAGAAACTGCTGGAAAGGTCCCAGGCTGTGAGATGTCCTGTGTTTGGATAGTTGTCAGGCTCTCTGGGTTGTATGCCTTGGGTTGAAGCTGCTGCTTTTCATTTTCAGAGGGTAAGTGAGAAGATGATGGTGATGAAAAGGACCCATTTCCTGCTATATTAGAGATGTTTTCTAAAGTTTGCTGAGTTGATCCAACTGTCTTCGTAGTCTAAAAAATAAAAATCCCAAATGTTTATATATACATTAAACAAGCATATAATACTTAAAAATAATTACTATTCTAAAAATGTAAGTAGGACCAATTTTCTGAATTACCATTTATAAAACAGGTATAAAACAATGGACTCTCCACGATAACATGGGGTATGATTTTAAAGTACTATAAATAAAGACAGTCAAAGAAGTAGAATAATAATTAGCTGTTGATATGCTCAGACAAATAAAGGATAACAAGGGAACATTAATTCTATGGTTCACAAAGGGCAGACTTCAAAATGCCTCAATTCTGTGGATCTTCAGTGACATTATAGTAGGAAAAAACAAGTGAAAAAGGAAAGGGGAGTGCTGGGGTTGTGGCTCAGCGGTAGAGCGCTTGCCCAGCACGTGCAAGGCCCAGGGTTCAATCCTCAGCACCACATAAAAATAAATTAAATAAAGGTATTGTGTCCAATTACAATTAAAAAATAAATATTAAGAAAAATAAAAGGAATGGAGAGTGATGAGAAGAGACTGGAAACAGATTAACATAAATGTTCCTAATTGTGAAAATGCTTAAAATTAGTTATTTTTATTAATCATATGTAATGCAAAACAAATATGAAAGAAATAGAAAAAAAAATAAATACAGCAGTTTTTATAAGGTTCAGATTTGGAGCACTGGTCAATATAACTTACCTTAAAAATAGGGGAAGATCTTTTTTCTGCAGTTACTTCCATTGGAGTAACATCTTCACTCTTAATCATACTGCTCGAAATGAGTGGAGTGATGAGGGCATTGGGTAGAATATTTACCTTATCTAAATTACATCCAGTAGTTTTCATTGCTGCACCCAAGAGAAAAATGAGAGTTTACTTTCTTTTGCACGAGTGGGCGGGGGTGGAGGTGGGTACCAGGGATTGAACTCAGGGACACTGGGCCACTAAGCCATATCCCCATACCTGTTTTGTATTTTATTTAGAGACAGGGTCTCACTGAATTGCTTAGCGCCTTTGCTGGGGCTGGCCTTGAACTTTGATCCTCCTGCCTCAGCCTCTGGAGCTGCTGGGATTACGGGCGTGCGACACTGCGTCCAGCTATTTATTTATTTATTTTTTTACATGGTGCTGAGGATTGAACCTAGTGCCTCACACATGCTAAGCAATTGCTTCTACTACTGAGCTACAACCCCAGTACTGAGTTCATTTTGTTGTTGTTGTTGTTGTCATATTGAAGATTGAACTCAAGGGAGCTTTACCACTAGGCTACATCCTTAGTTCCTTTCATTTTTTTTTTTTTTTTTAATTTTGAGACAGGTTTTCATTAAGTTGCTGAGGCTGGCCTCAAGCAATCCTTCTGCCTCAGCTTACCAAGTCATTGGGATTAAAGGTGTGTGCCACTGCCCCAGTCCAACATCTGATTTGTGATAGTATTGATATCAGCTGATTTTCTTTTTTCATTCAAGTTATAATTTTCCTGGTTCAGAGTATGACTTTAAATTTTTTGTTTCCTGGCCATTTTGGACATTATGTTAGGAGACTCTTGGTTCTACTTAAGTCTATTTTAGTAGGTAGTTACTTATTTAACCTGTGTAGGTTGTCTCTACTTAAGTGTACTGTAGTTTCAATGACAATTGTTTTCTAAGTCTTATTTTGGTCTGTTGTATTATTCTGGCTCTTCTTGACCTAACTAAAATTCTTTATATACAGAGATACGAAAAATGGTGCTCTATATGTGTAATAAGGATTGTAAGCATTCCACTATTGTCTGTATTTTAAAAAAATAATAAAATCAATAAAAAAGATATGTACTTAAAAAAAATAAAATTCTTTTTTTTTTTTTAACATAACAGTAGAGTGTATTTTGACATTACACATACATAGAGTGTAACTTCCCATTCTTGTGGTTGTACATGATGTGGAGTACACTGGTTGTGTTTTCATATGTGAATTTACGAGAGAGTTATGTCCAATCCATTCTACTGTGTCTTTCCTATCCACCCCTGCCTCCCTCCAGCTGCATTCTTGCTGCTGGTATTGCCTAATGAATGAAAGGTGCTTCCCTGGGCTACCTGATGTCTTTAATGGGAGTGAGAGATGTGGGACTGTAATAACAGAAGGCATTTTTCCTGGTATTTTCTCTGATCTCCTAGTGCCAATAGGCTTCCCAGGTTTCCCATTCTATCACTGCTTGTGCTTCTGGGAGTAGAGAAGCAAGCATATAGGCTGTCTTTTGCCATTTGGTAAAGGCTTGGGAGACTCCAGGCCTGGTTCACTTTTTGCCTCTGGGTTTCATTCTGTCACTGGATGGAAGTTTGAGAGATGCTTGGCCTAGATCTTTCTGCTATTTGGGTAAGGATAAGAAAACCCTGGGGGCTGGGGTTGTGGCTCAGACACAGAGTGCTCATCTAGCATGTGTTAGGCACTGGGTTCGATCCTCAGCACCACATAAAAATAAAATAATGATATTGTGTCCACCTATAACTAAAAGATAAATATTAAAAAAAGAAAAGAAAACCCTGGGCTTGCTAGCACCCCAAGTGCAGACAGAGGGTCTTACTGTTGTCTGGTGTGGAAAAGGGGATGCATTGGCTCCTGGGTTCTGCTGTTGCCATTCCTGCAGACAGACAGACTGATCACTGATGCTAGCATGTGATCTGTAAGTTAGAGGCTAATCTCTGAAATGTAGGAAGGCCCTGTTTCAAAATAAAAAATAAAAAGGACTGGAGATATATCTCAGTGGTAAAGAGTCTCTGGATTTAATTATAAGTACCACAAAAACAAACAAAAGAACCAAAAAAAGAAAACCAGTTTTCTCTTTTACCCATGCCAAATAATTCAATCCCTAGCACCCAAAATAAATAAATAAATAAAAAGACTTGAAATTTATAAAAGAGGAAATAAGAGAGAGACTTTTGAGGGGAAATTGACGTTTCTACCTCTGTCATTTACTAGCTGTGTGATCTTTTTTTTTCCCCTGTGGTGCTGAGGATTGAACCCAGGGCCTTGTGCATGTGAGGCAAGCATTCTACCAAACAAACTATAACCCAGCCCTAGCTGTGTGATCTTGAGCAAATCACTTAACCTCTCTAAGCTTTGGTTTACTGCCTATAAAGTGAGGCTGAACTAGATATCTCTATGGTTCCTCAAAACTCCCTAATCTTGCCATACTATTACATCCAGGTAGAGAAAAATAATACTCTCAAATATTTTTCACATTCATCCAATTAACCACTCCCTACAAAGCTAAAAAGAATGCACAGAAATATTTTATTTATCTCTAGGTCCTAAATAGGCATAAGAGTGTTTAAGCAATCTATTTGTTTATATTCAATATACCTGAACCCATATAGATATAGAAAACTTTCTAAAGTACTAAAGCTATGATTTCAAGGAATCACCAAAATAAGCTATCTGTGGAAAATAATTCCTTTCTGAAAATGATGGCTTTTTAAAAATCAAGAATCTCTATTTAATATCACAGCATTTAAGATGACAAATTTAAAGTTTAAACTGATTAGACAGTTTAATATTCAATTAAATTATATAAATCCTCATAAAATTATTTGTTTATCCTACCTCAACTGATATGGTAATTTTCAAAATAAGAAAGTTTAAATTATTCTGCGTGCAGTGGTACATGCCTACAATTCCCAGCAACTCAGAGGCTGAAGCAGAAGGATCTTAAGTTCCAGGCCAGCTTCAGCAATTTAGTGAGGCTCCCAAGCAACTTCTCAAAATAAAAAAATAAAAAGGCTAGAGGATGGATGGAGCTCAGTGGTATTGCCACAAAGTTCAATCCCTCGTACTAAAAAACAAACAAAAAGTCTGAATTGTGAAAAATACTAATGGGTATAAGTCTGTTTTGTTTTGCTTGCAGTGCTGAGGATCTAAACCAGGGCCTCATTCATGCCAAGCAAACTTTATACCACTGAGCCACATCCCCAGCCCTATGTCTGTTTCTTGTTCTTTTTGGCTAGTAAGATTTTGATCAAAGGATTAATTCATTTATTACTAAAAATTAAACATACCTTTTTAACCTTCAATTCTTAATCTTTATTTATTTATTTTTACGTAGTGCTGAGGATTGAACCCAGGGCCTCACACATGCTAGGCGAGTGCTCTACCATTGAGCCACAACCCCAGCCCTCAATTCTTAATCTTGTATAAGAAATTCTACATTGGATTAGTTATGTTCCACCCAGCCATGAAAGCATCACAAGGAATTTTTAGAGAAAAGACTAGATCCCAAAAGTTTACAATGGATAGGCCATAAGGTCCCTGATATTCTTTACTAATTAATTAATTTTACTATTCAAAATAAACACAATTTGAATGATTTTCGCTCAGATGTATTTACACACTGAAGTTCAATCAATATTTTTTTAGTCCTAGCTAAGTGACCATGGGTAAATTATTTAACCTCTCTAGAGCTTTGGATTCTTTACTTATGAAATAGAAACAATAAGTTACCAATCTCATAGAGTTTAGAAGGTTAAATAATACCTATAAAGAGCTTGGCATATTGCCTACAACTTAATATATGTTCAATAAATGTTAGCTAAAGATGTTTATAGATTTGTGAATTTTTCTTCAGCTGAATTTGATAATCCTGGCAGTTAATTGTGTAGGCAATAATTCCCCATTAAAATACTCTGGAAAATGTTTACCATCAATTAAATTAAACAATAATCAAATTAATTATAATTTATACTGAACCATTACATATATGAATACTAAACTTTACTTCCGAGAATAAAAAAATTTACCGTATTTTATAAAATTGATTTGAGTAAATCATGCTCCTTGAGAATCAAAGACCATTTATTTATCTATCTATCTATTTATTGGTTCAGGAGATTGAACCCAAGGGTACTTCCATGAGCTACATCCCTAGTCCTTTTATATTCTTATTTATTTATTTTATTATTAATTTATTTATTTACATACTGGGGATTGAATGCAGGGACATTTTGTCACTGAGCTACATCCCCAGCCCTTTTTTATTTTTTATTTGAGACAGGTTGCAGAGGACTTTGCTAAGTTGCTGAGGCTGGCTTTAAACTTGCAATCCTTCTATCTCAGCCTCCCGAGCCACTGTGATTACAGGCATGTGCTACTACTGCACCCAGCTCCAACATCTATTTGTTAAAAAGTTAGGTTTATATGCTGAAAAAAGGACAATATCAAGTTGATAAACAAGTCTCTGCATTTAATAAAATCAAACATTTATTTTATAATGTGGATGATACCCTGCTAAATTTTATAAATACATAAGAGAAAACAAATATTAAAGTTTTCTAGATAAAACAGATAAGATCACCTATTATAATTTTTGAAAAGAATCAACTTGGTACCTTTCATGGCCTCTTCAAAAGAGCAAGGTCTTGCTGGACTAGATATTTCTTTCTTCACATTTACATTCAAAGCACCAGCTGCTGCAATTAAAAAAAGAAGTTCATGTATTTAAAGTATATTCAGCTTAACAAATGTGTATCTTAGAATTCTTTAATTGGAATATTTTCTCACAGAGCATCCTAGTGAGGACAGCATATGATCACTTATCAAAACAGCAATTTTTAAGAACACTTCTTGGAGTGGAAGCAACTCAGGAAGTTGAGTCAAAAGAATTGCAAGTTTAAGGCCAGTCTGAGCAATTTAGCAAGATCCTGTCTCAAAATAAAAAATAATAGACATTTCAAACTTACTAAATAATATTAGAATATTAACAAGGAAAAAAACCCCAACCATTTACCTAAATAAATTATTTATTAAAAATACTTATTTTCCAGGGACTGGGATTGTGGCTCAGAGGGAGAGCGCTCTCCTCACATGTGTGAGGCACTGGGTTCCATACTCAGCCCCATATAAAAATGAAATAAAGATACTGTGTCCATCTATAATTAAAAAAATAAATATTAAAAAGCAGAATGAGGGATGAGGACTGCAAGTTCAAAGCTAGCCTCAGTAACCTAGTGAGGCCCTAACAAACTTAGTAAGATCCTGTCACTAAAAAAATTCAAAAGGGGGCTGGGGCTGGCACTCAGTGATAGAGTGTTCCACCGGCACACATGAGGCACTGGGTTTGATCCTCAGCACCACATAAAATATAAAATAAAGGTATTGTTGTCCATCTATAACTAAAAAAATACATACAAAAAAAAACAAAAATAAAGAAGAGTTGGGGATGTGGTTTTGTGGTTAAGCACCCCTGGGTTCAATTGCTAGTAACAAATAGAATAAAAAAAAAAAAACTTATTTAAAAAACATTAGTCAATATTTAAGTTTGATTAAAACAACTGAACAAACTAAATCCACAATATTATGATTATTCTTTTTTGTAACACTTCCAACAACAAAAAAAAAAAATTCGCTAATATTAATGAAGAGCTGCTGGGTTACAATTCTTAGTCATATCAATTAATCTACTATCACAACTTTAAATTTAATAAGCCTTAGAACAGAAATCAGTTCTAAATGAGAAAACTAAATAAATATGTTCTTCTTCTTCTTCTTTTTTTTTTTTTTTTTTTGTAGTGCTAGGGATTGAACCCAGGGGCCTTGTGCATGTGAGGCAAGCATCTCTACCAACTGAGCCATATGCCCAGCCCCTAATAAATAGGTTCTTGCTTCAAATAACCATATATTAATTTTATTCAAATATATTTTATTCACTAAATCCAAAATAAATAAGATTTGAGTCAGTTAACTTTTAAGGTATTTTAGTTTTTTTTTGCTAATAAGGATTGAACTCAGGGGTGTTATACCACTGAGGTGCATCCACAGCCCTTTTTATTTTGAGACAAAATCATTTAAGTTGCTTAAGTTGCTTAGGGCCTCACTAATTGTGATTCTCCTGCCTCAGCCTCCCAAGTTGCTGAGATTACAAGTGTGTACCACCATGCCCAGCTAATGCATATTCTTTTTTTTTTTAAACATTTATTTATTTAATTTTATTTTTTGGCGGACACAACATCTTTGTTTGTATGTGGTGCTGAGGATCGAACCCGGGTTGCACGCATGCCAGGAGAGCGCCCTACCGCTTGAGCCACATCCCCAGCCCTGCTAATGCATATTCTTGACATGACAATGTGAAATGATAGTTAAAGAATAAGGAGACAAAATTGCACACATCTAAAAAATGGAATTTAATAATTTATCTTAGTATGCTGCATAGTAAGTGTAACAAAGTGTAACTGAGCACTTTTAGGCACTCAAAAAGAAATACTACAATTTCTCTGTGTGACACTAATTTTAATAATTAAATTATTTTGATAATTAAAGATTTAAAAACTGGAAAAACTTAAAAATTTCTACTTTTAAATTAAGTTATTAGTAATTTGTTTTTAGGGCAGCAGAAAAATGAGCTGGGTACAGAGGCACACACCTCTAATCCCAGCAATTCAGCAGGGGCTGAGGCAAGAGGATTGAAAGTTTGAAGCCAGCCTTAGTAATTTAGAAAGGCTCTGTCTCAAAATAAACAATAAAAATAGAGGGTTGGGGATGTAGTTCAGTAATAAAGCACTCTGGATTCAATCCCAGTTTTTATTTATATATATATATATAAATGAGCTAGGCAAGTACTCTACCACTGAGCTAGGGTTAATGAAATTATGAAAAATTTTTAAATTGTATCATAAAGGTAGAAACGGAGGCATTAGATCTCATTACAATGTTTGTGTATCATGTATTGAATAAGATTTTCTAAGTGTGACTGCTATCTGTGATGTGTAAGATACTCAAAGGGTATAAATTTTTTTAAAAAATTTATTTTTAGTCGTAGATGAACACAACACCTTTATTTTATTTGTTTATTTTTATGTGGTGCCAGGGACTGAACCCAGTGCGTCAGGTATGCTAGGCAAGTGCTCTACCACTGAGCCACAACCCCTATCCCTCAAAGGGTATAAATTTTAAAGAACAAACATATGGTAATGATTACCTAAGTATGGCCAAATACAGGCCATTAGAGCATTTTTTAAAGCAGAAGACATAAAAGCTTATTTGGAAATCTATCAAAGAAAAATTCCTAATAGTCAGCACTCATCACTAAGAAATGAGGATTCTTTTTTTTTTTTTTTTGGTGGTGCTGGGGATTGAACCAAGGCATTGTACATGGGAGGCAAGCACTCTACCAACTGAGCTATATCCCCAGCACCAAAATCAGGATTCTTGAAGGTGATACTCAATACTTCAAAGTCTTGAAGTTTTTTCTAACTAATAAATATAAAACCAATAAATCGGGGCCGGGGATGTGGCTCAAGTGGTAGCACGCTCACCTGGCATGCGCAGGGCGCTGGGTTCAATCCTCAGCACCACATAAAAATAAAATAAAGGTGTTGTGTCCACGAAAAACTAAAAAATAAATATTAAAAATTCTTTTTCTCTCTCACTCTCTTAAAAAAAAAACACAATAAATGACAACAACCAGATTTCAGTGTTTTCAGGATAGCAAAAACCATTAATACTATTTATTCTTTGGCACACACAGCCTTTTTCTTTCCCCATAACTGATGTAGAAGCTCATCAGGAAACAGATCCTAATGTTAATTATGTCATCTTTTCCCTCATATTTGTGCATTCTTCTGTAAAATATTACATATCAGTATTTCATAACTAGCAGTTACTGAAGTACCTTAACTATATTAATTTTAAATCACATGTTTTGGATTTTTAGGCCTTCTGAGAAAACAAAAACAAAAATATTTGGACTCTTACTATAAAGCAATCTTCTTTCTCCTCTTATTTTGGTTGAAGCCAAAATATTATTTCCAAACCATGCCTTTTTGGTTCAAAGTTTTTACTTATGACCTTTAGTTCTGAGAAAAATAGCAAGGGGAGTTTCATTAGTGCTATACACTGTGGCATGCCTTTGTAGCAAACTCACTGTAAATAACCAATACTGCAAAATTCAGACATAATTAAAAATAGGGAATTAGATGAATTAATTACCAAGACTAATTATAACTCTATTAGCTTCCATTTCCCTCATTTTTCTTTTTCTTTTTTTGAGATGGGAATCTCACTGTGTTGCCCAGGCTGGCCTTGAATTCCTAGATTCAAGCAATCCTTCTGTCTTAGCTCCCAAGTAGGTATATGCACCCCTGCACCTAGATTTGTTTCCCTTATTTTTTGATGCCAGGGCTTTCTTTCCAAATCACTTTTCTTCAACTTCTTCTATCTTACTGAGTCCTGAACTATTTTGGGGAAACATATTAATAAACTACAGATACGGGGGGCTGATAATTATTAAGTATGTCTGACACTGGAATAAACTGAATCAATAGTAGCCATGGTAGAAACCAAGCCTCAGTCAATGGAACACAGGAAGAGTTTCCATTTCTAAAATATTTTCCTTACTTCTAGCAGAAGGCTTTTGTCTTCTTCAGGCAACTAAATTAATGCAGGCAAACAACTTACAAGATAATTTTTAGCAAAAAACCATCAAACTTTTAACATTTTAATTATTTTTGTCACTGATTTCTTTCTAAACCATCTTATTTTGCCTAAATACTTAAAATCATATTTAAAATATTCACCACCAGTCTCTGAAACTTTTTGACTTTATCACATATTACTCCAAGCATATTTCTCACCTCTCTCAAAAATGCACCTTAAGCTGGGCACAGTGGTGCACACCAGTATCCTGGGGATTTGGGAGGTTGAGACCAAAGGATCACAAGTTTGAGGCCAGCTTTAGCAACTTAGCAAGGCCCTAAGCAACTTAGTAAGATTCTGTCTCAAAAAAAAAAAAAAACTGGGAAAGTAGCTCAGTGGTAAAACATCAGGTTTAAACCCTAGTACCAAAAAAAAAAAAAAAAAACTAGGTAAGAGAAAAAAAAAAAAAAAAAAAAAAAACACCATAAGAAGGTTGGAGTGTATACCTCAGTGGTAGAGCATGTGCTTAGTATGCAGAAGACTCTAAGATCAATCCTCAGCAAGGCACAAACAAACAAACAGAAACCCTATAACTAGCCAACTTAAACTATTAAGTACTTTCCCAAAACTGTCACTTACCTTCCCGCATATAAGAAATACCAATAAATGGTCATCCTTATTAAGTAGTGACCTGCAAAGTGGCTCAGGAGAATCTGATCTCAGAGCATTCCTGGCTTTTATTATTATAAAAGGTAAAAATGATCCTGCTAACACAGAAGTTGTATTCGATGGCTATCTTTTTAGGAAATAAAGCCATCTCCAAAATAAATTCACATTAATTTGTCACAGAGAACAACTTTTTCTCTTTTCTTGGCTGGTCTTCTTATCTTTTTAAAGAGCTAGAAATTAATTATTCATTTTTATTCAGAATTTTTCTTTTTGACATACCTGGATCTGGAGTGTAGGTGAATGGCTGAACATCATGGGATCTTCCAGCATTGGTCACTACATATATCCCCACCGATACAGGCAAAGTTATATGTTGGTCATGATATGGGGGAACCTTCACAATAAGATGGTTCTAATTTAAAGAAAAATACAATAGTCAGAAAAAAAAACAACAATATTTAAATTTAGAAGACTAAATATATTTCCTATTAGCTTTAAAGTTTTAAAAGTCTGATTAGGAAAAAAAATGTATTTTTAACCTCAGGTTGATAGGTACTACTAGGTCATTAGTTGAAGATATCCTTAAGGTAGAAATCAAAATGTTTTACAATGGCTTTCAAGGTCCCTGCTCTGTCAACTTCATCTCACTCCCACTTCCCCCCTGCCTTACTACAAACTGACTTTCTCAGTCCATTCTTTTAACATACTAAACTCAGTTTTATCTTCCAATTGCTGTTCTCATCAACTGTAATATTCTTCCTTCACCTCCTCAAATGGCAAGTTCTTCACAGATTTTCAAATTTGATATAAATGTCACCTCTTAAGTGAAATCTTCCTTTGACTATCCTGTTTAAAGCAGAACCCCTTCCGAACCTGGTCAGTTAATTATTTATTTCCATATCAGCACTTATTGACACTTGAAATTACCCTAATCCCCTGCCCACTCCACTTTTGGTCTCTCTCCAATAAATGTAAGTAAGCTCCATGAGGTTCCAGACTGCTCAGATACTTCAATGTATCTCCTCTGTTAAGAATGGCACCGGGCTGGGATTGTGGCTTAGTGGTAGAGTGCTCGCCTAGCATGGGCGGGACCCGGGTTCGATCCTCAGCACCACATAAAAAAAATAAAGGCATTGTTTTGTGTCCATCTACACTTAAAAATAAAAATTTTTAAAAATGGCACCATATTCAAAATATACTCAATTGAACATTAGAGCAAATTATGAGGAAAAAAGTATGTCCATGAAATGCAAAGTCAGTTATCATGTGTTCTGTATAACCTCAATGAGATGTACTTCATAATGCAGTTCATTCCTCCCTACCACCTACTCATTTAAAATTAAATGGTTCAGTTTATTCAAACTTCAGTAAATAAGATACTTTTAGTTAGAATATATACATCTTTATAAGAAAAGGGCAGGGCTGGGGCTGTAGCTCAGTGGCAGAACACTTGCCTAGCATGTGTGAGGCACTGGGTTCGATCCTCAGCATCACATAAAAATAAACAAATAAAATAGAGGCATGCTATCCATCTACAACCTCAAAAAGAAATTGAAAAAGAAAAAGAAAAGTTCATGTGTGTTTCATCAGCATTTACTCAAGGGGGTTTCTTGGAAGATAATATGAACCACATTTGAACTTTTTCTCTTTTTCCCTAGTAAATTATAGTAATGGGAAGTAACACTAGGAAGGTAGTGATTATGCTTTTACTTATGATCTGACATGGAAGAGGCCAAAGCCAATAGCTGAGGGTGTGGTAAATTTGACATTTCTTTTTTTGGGGGGTGGGAAGGTAGCAGGGATTGAACTCAGGGGAACTCAACCACAGGAAAAAATAAAAAGCCTAGGGATATGGAAAGCCATATCCCTAGGCTTTTTTTTTTTTTTTTTTTTTTTTTTTAGAGATAGGGTCTCACTCAGTTGCTTAGCACTTTGCTGTTGCTAAGGCTAACTTTGAACTTGTGATCCTCTTGCCTCAGCCTCCTGAGCTGCTGGGATTACAGGCATGTTTATTTCAGTTAGAATATAGCTGATGTTCATTAGAATATGGGACAGCCAGGCACAGGGGCACATCTATAATCTCAGGGACTTGGGAGCCTGAGGCTGAAGGATCAAAAGTTCTAGGCTAGACTTGGCAACTTAGACAGATCTTGTCTCGAATCAAAATAAAAGAGGGCTGAAATGTAGTTCAGTGGTAAAGCATCCCTGGGTTCAACCCAGTACCTACCCCTCCACACACATAAAAGAAAAAAGGACAAATGAGGTCAAGTTTCAATTTCTGAGCACTTAATTTGTATCTTAAAAATACTCTCTAAAATAAACTAACATTAAAAGGAATCAGAAAGAACAAATGAAAGAAAGAGCAAGCTCCCTTTCTAATAGAATACCTCATAATTTAGCCATCCTGAAAGAAACCACACGTTTTTTAAATCAGGTTGAAAAACATGTAGTGTAAATGTGTATGCATCCTCAACTATTTGGGGAGGAGGATCTGAATGAATATTTGGTCATCAAAAATATTCCAGTAATGATTCGACTTATAAGAAACAGAAGTCTACTTAGATACTACAATCACATCAAAGAAGCAGCCCACCTAGATTTACAAAATAACTGAGTGGTTGACTTGCCAAGCACTCTTCCACATCTAAATTATATGGCAAACTATATTTCAAATTATCCTTCTGAATAAAAAAACTGTTTCTTAGTAATTAATAATGGGATTAGTATTTAAAATTCAGATGCATATTTTATCAAAATACTTCTACCCTACTTGTTTCAGAGAGCATGTTTAAGCAAACCTAATTTGAAACTTTTAAAACCAAATGAATTTTTTGCCCCCTCAAATGAACCTCTCGACACTAATTCTTCATACTTCCTCAATCTGAATCTAGAAACTCTACAATCCATTTGAAATAAAACAAGGTAAATTGTGAACAGTAATCAAAAGTTGTTTTTTAACACTGCTTTCTTAAATTAGGTGCAATTAACTACCACTGAGCTAAGAATACAATATATACAAAATATCCAAAGGTATGGGAGATTTTATAGCAAGTATAACATTCTCTGGGGAAAAAGAGGGAAATGTTTGAATTTCAGTATCTTAATAAAAATCTGCTTGGATTCAAAATAACTATTTTTCCCACTTACAGAAAATATTTTTTGAGGTATACAAGCAACGGGGCTATATATTTTTCACTTTTCTGTGAAATAATTTATCATTGCCAAATTCATTTCACAGCTGGGGATATATGTAATTGGATTGGAAGAAAGACACTTTGCAAGATTTCTATTAGAGCCAATTTGAAATACCTATCTTCTAAACATGCAAGTCTTTGTTTAGACTAGTTTTCTTATGAATTCCCCTGAGAATCTTCTTCTAGCATTTCTTTCAAGAATTTCTTATTTATTTTAGTCTTTTGGGTATCTGGGATTGAACTCAGGTCACTTGACCACTGAGCCACATCCTCAGCCCTATTTTGTATTTTATTTAGAGACAGACTCTTACTGAGTTGCTTAGTGCCTCGCTTTTGATGAGGCTGGCTTTGAACTTGCCATCCTCCAGCCTCAGCATCTCCAGTCACTTGGATTACAGGTGAGTGCTGCTGCACCCATCTCTTATTTATTTATTTATTTATTTATTTTTTGTCCCGGGCATTGAGCCCAGCAGCTCAGGAGGCTGAAACAGGAATATCTGGAGTTCAAAGCCAGCCTCAGCAACTTAGTGAGGCCCTAAGCAACTTAGCCAGATCCTGTCTCTAAAAACATATAAAAACAAAAGGGCTGGGGATGTGGCTCATGGTTAAACAATCCTGGGTTCAATCCCTGACACCAAAAAAGAAAATCTGATAATGACAGATCATATTATAGTTTGTTGTTTACATACTTGCTTGCAAAAATCTCAGACCTCCTACATTTAGCCACCAAATAAGTACATAATTCCTTTGCATTCTATCACATGTCTTACTTCTATGATTATTTTTCTTTAAATCTATTGTATCTGACCTAAATGCCCTGTTAGGAAGGAAAGAAGAGAAAAGAGTGAGAAGGGAAGGACCAGGAAGGAAAGGAAGGTAGGGAGAAATAATGACCTGTTAATATAAAGTTCTACATTAAATAGCAAATTAAGATTAAAATTTATTGGGGGCCGGGAGGTGAGATGGGAATGAGAAAGACAGTAGAATGACTGGACTTAATTTTCCTATATTCATATATGAATACATGACCACTGTAACACCACATCACGTACAACCACAAAAATGGAAAGTTATACTCCATGTATGTATGATATGTCAAAATACATTCTACTGTCATGTATAACTAAAAATAAAAAATAATTTAAAAATTTGTTGGGGCTATTTTATGATATAATACCAATGTTTATTAATATTATGTAGCATTTATAAGTCTTTCATTCTCTAGAACTTGTCTCTTATTTATAAATCTGTATCATAGGAATAATTATAATAGAGCATTACAAATAAGGGGAGTTACATTTTTTTAATATTTATTTTTTAGTTGCAGTTGGACATAATATTTTTATTTCACTTATTCATTTTTATGTGGTGCTGAGAATTGAACCCAGGGTCTTGCACGTGCAAGGCGAGTGCTATACCACTAAGCCACAACCCAGCCCTGGGAATTTACATTTACCTAATCAATTTGTTAAAGCAAAGTGTCACAAGCCTATAATCCCAGCCATTCAGGAGGCTAAAAGCAGGGGGATTCTGAGTATGAACCCAGACTGGGCAATTCAGCAAGACTGTTTAAAAAAAAAAACTGGCGGGGGAAGGAGGTAGAAATGTTGCTTAGGTAGATGGCCACTAGGTTCAATCCCCAGTATCACAAAAATAAAACAAATCAAAACAAGAACATAGTCACAGCATACAAAATATTCCAGGGATAAGTTAATTTTCAGTTAGGATTAAAATTCTAGGTATATAAAAACATGACTGAAATTAGGATTTGAAGAGTCCTCAGAACAAAGAGACCTTAGACCAGAGTCCTCTTTTCATTCAACAGGAATAAAATGAATGGAGAAGTTTTTCAAGAGTATCTTCCCCTCTACCCCAGTCAGTACTGGGGATTGAATCCAGGGGTACTGGATTCAATTTGATAGGAGTATCTTTAAGGCTTTGGCCACTGGACAAACTAACAATTGTGACTTATGGTAAGCTCTCTGAAACATGCCATATCAGTTCTGACCTCTGATGGAACTGGAAACTATAGGTCAGGGCACAGTGAGCTACATCCCCAGTCCTTTTTATTTTGACACAGGGTCTCACTAAGTTACCCAGGCTGATCTCCAACTTGAGAACCTCCTGCCTCAGCCTCCTAAGTAGCTGGGATTAAAAACGGATGTCACCGCCTTTGGCTCATGATTGTCCATTAATCGGCTAGTATTATGAGGATCACAGAAAGGCCACACAATATTGCCCCCTAATCTTCAGGAGTACTCTCAAGGAAGCTACTGCTGGTTTACAGGGAATAGGGATGGTCTGATCAAGGAATATAAGAAATCATAAAAATGTCAGGGTTAGAGCTCAATCTTGTGCAAGAGTTTATCTTATAGATTAGACAGCTGAGGCACAAAAGTGACTTTTTTTTTTTTGAGAGAGAGAGAGAGAATTTTTTAATATTTATTTATTTTTTTTAGTTTTCGGTGGACACAATATCTTTATTTTATTTTTATGTGGTGCTGAGGATTGAATCCAGCGCCTGCCAGGCTACCGCTTGAGCCACATCCCCAACCCTGACTTGTCTTTCTTAAATAACACAAATTGTTCATTACAAAACAGGTACTAGAACTTCAGTTAAGAGTGGTAAAGAACCCTAGGAGATACTGTGCAGTAGCATACGGGACAAAGGAATGACTTAAGTTCTACTTTTGCAAGTAGTATAAAGCTAAAGGAAAGCTTTCCACATGGCATTTGTCTGGTTATGTAGGAAGCTCCAGTTCTTGTAATACTCTGTAATAAAGAATTAACTTTACTCAAAGAAAGATCTGTTTTTTGTCCTTGGTTATTGGGAGGTGATCTCTAGGATCCTACAATTTGATAGGAGTATCTTTAGGGCTTTGGCCACTGGACAAACTAACAACTGTGACTTATGATGGGCTCTCTGAAACATGCTGTATCAGTTCTGACCTCTGATGGAACTGGAAACTATAGGTCAGGGCACAGGCAATATACAATCAAGTCCAAATAAAAACTCTGGACACTAAAAGCTTGGGTGAGCCTCCCTGGTTTGGCAGTTCTCTGCAAGTTGTCACTCACCGATGAACTGAGAGGAATACTTCCATAAAGATGACAGAAGCTTGGCTTTTAGCTCCCTCTTGCCCTCTGTGTCTCCCTTCAGTTGGTTCTGATTAGTATCCCTTTGTTGTAACAAATTTATAATCACATGCAATTTCTAGAGTTCTATAAATTTTAGCAAATTATTCAATCTGAGGAGAAAGTGGGAAAACCTAAATTTTAAGCTAGGTATCCAAAGGGACAGTGACCTGGAGACTTCTAAACTTTCTGGCTGATGTGTGAAGTGAGAGTAGCCTTGGCTATTCCCTTAGTCTTGAGTTTGGCAATATATTAAATTTAAAATGTTTTATATTTTTATTAGTTTTTTTTTTTTAAATACACAAAGGAATAAAACAATATTTAAAAACCACAAAGAAATTACAAAGTTTTTGGATAAACTGGCTAGTCTCCAATTCCTGTCTCTTCCACATCTCTGCTTGCTTCCATGTTCTCTTCTCTATTGCTATCAGCTCTATACTAAATTTTAAGCTTTGGGTATTTTACACTAATTAGCTTGTCCCTTCCCCTCTGTCCCCAATCTGTACCTATACACACTATTCTTCTGCATGAGCCATCTAACTAACTTGCTCATAGATTTAACCATTTCTTCTGTTAGTTTCAATTTCTATGAATTTGATACTATTTGCTCTACTTATTAATTCTTAGGTTTCTGTACTTGTTTTCTAGCTGTTTTTCCTCTAATGAGGAAATAAATAATAAATAATTTTAGAGAGCAATGCATGGAAAGGTCCTACATATACGAATTCTATCCCCCTCAAAGACTTTTTAAAAAAATTTTTTTTAGTTGTAGATTTATTCATTTTTACATGGTGCTAAGGATTGATTGAACCCAGTGCCTCACAGGTGCTAGGCAAGTGCTCTACCACTGAGCCACAACCTCAGCCCCCCAAAGATTGTGATGACTGTGTCCAAATTTAAGGAAATAACTTTAACAAATATAAAGCACCTGACACATAAACAGGTACTTAATAAATATTGGTTTTCCTGTGATTTAACTGTACTGTAGGGTAAGATAATCCAAATCCTTAAAGAAAATACATCCCAGGAAAGAAATGCTTTATTTATTAACAATGGCAACCTTTGCTAATGCTCTTAAATTTTGAAAAGAGAGAACTAGTCATGTCTGGCATCAGAGGAATAATTCTATTTCAGTTAAGGAAACTCAAGAAAAAAAATTTTGAGTCACATCAATCCCATATAATGATGAAATTTAATCTGTTCAGAAATTATTTTCAGAACAAAACTGAATAGCTCAGAGTAAAACTTATAAAAAGGCTTAAATTATACCTGATGAAACAATTCCATGTCGATTTCAGCTTCTGATTTCCAAGAGTTTTCATCTGGTTGAAATAAAAACAGTGACTTACTAATTTTTGAACAACTGTTTTACTCTGTGGCTAAGATTGTATCTTTATAACAAAGTGAAAAATCTAACAATCTACTAATTTGCCTACTTACCAGAAACATTTTCTTGGAAAATAACTTTAGTTCCTTTCAGAAAGTTCTTGCCAATTAAAAACACTTCTTCCTCTCCTTTCACTGAACAGCTATGTAAGCTTTTTTTTAAGATCTCTGGCACTCCTGCTGGTTGAGCTGTGGGTATACATAAACATTCCATGAAAAGAACCATCAACATTTACTTCTTACCTAAAATCAACATGCAATTATATATTGAGTTCTACAAGTTTTCTTTGTTCACCCTGAATTTAATGTCCTTTACTCTACAACTTACAGAGGACAGAGAAAAAAAATTAGAAAATATATAAATTTCTAACAACTATTGGAAGATATTACAGAGCTAAATAAGTGCCTAAGATGAGGTTTTCATTTATTATATATCATCTTTGTTTTCTCATTTCATGAATGATAAACCTAATGATGTTTTTGTCTTAATAATATTTTTTTAAAATTATAAGCTTGTCCCAGTCTTAACCTTTAAATGTCAGCTGTACTATACCATTACATTATAGAATCCCTGAGTAACAAGAGTTATGTGGGTGGTACTGAGAGTATATTAAAAGATCTAGGCACAGGACCCAGAGACCTCAAACCAAACGAAAACCTAAAAACAGATTAAGCCCACTTTTGGATCAATCATTCTACCAGGATGGTTTTCCGAACCAGGAATCTTGAGATGAAAAAAAAGATGCACTTGTTTTTCAACTACAAAGATGAAATAACCACTACTAAAATTAACAAAGACAAGTACTGAGGAGCTAGAGATAATAAGAAAATTGCAATTAGCCTAACAAACTTCTTTAGGCCAGGATTTCCCTAAGAAAGTGTGAGAAGTTGAGAAGGGAAATATGGAGTTAAGCAGAGCTAAACAAAAGGATATCTCTAAGCTTTTCATACTGTGATATGCTCTATAAATATCCAAAGGTATCCTTACTGACACCCATTAAGGACTAGCTGTCCAACCAATAGATACAAATAAGTTTCAAGTACTCAAGAAACTTCAGGTTATCAGAACCTGATTGAAAAAATCACACTGTCACAGATTACATTACTTGCTGTTTTAGCAAATCTTTGCAACACATGTGTTCCAAAGTCAAACAAATATTGCTTGTCTAACTTGTTAATTTATAAATTAATGAGACTTTTCACTATCTTTGGAAAATTCAACTTCAGTTCTTTCAAGATATTTACATATTTTATTAATAGTTAATTTTATTTTTATAATAACACAATGCGCAAAGTTGTGTTATTGTACAAATGTTTACTGCTCCCCAGGCCCTTCTTTGTAGGAAGGCTATAATTCTTGTCCCACTCACATCAAGCTTAGTCATATGACTTGTGTGGATAATGAAATGTGAATTGAAGTAATGTGCCAAATCCAAGAGAAAACTGAAATGGGTTAATAGAGGTATCCTGGCAATTCTATATCCTATCAAATAAAAAATTAACTAATCAATTTACTTAAAAGTAATTTTTTAGGGGGGGGGACTACTGTGGATTGAACTCAGGGGCACTGGATCAATGAGCCATATCCTAGCCCTATCTTGTATTTTATTTAGAGACAGGGTCTGAGTTGCTTAGTGCCTTGCTGTTGCTGAGCCTGGCTTTGAACTCGCGATCCTCTGCCTCAGCTTCCCAAACCGCTGGGCTTACAGGCATGTGCCACCATGCCCGGCTTAAAAACAAAAAATATACATGACTATATTGTCTGCAGAATTCTTTTTTTTTTAATATTTATTTTTTAGTTATAGATGGACACAATATGCTTATTTTATTTATTTATATGTGGTGCTGAGAATTGCACCCAGGGCCTCACACGTGCTAGGAGAGCGCTCTACCACTGAACCACAACCCCAGCCCTGTCTGCAGAATTCTAAAGATGTTATTAAGAAAACCTATGTACAAGAATCTAAGGGTAATTTTTATTTACCTCCAAGTAGTAAGGATTTAACCCAGGACCTCTCACAACATGCTTGGTAAGCACTATACCATTGAGCTATATCCACAGCCCTCCATGGCTATCGTTAAACTAATTCAAAGCACGAAATTGGTTACCATAGAATATAGAAGGCATTTTGTATTGATTTATTATAACATAATAAGAAATATACTTTCAAATCATATAATTTATCAGTAGGATATTGGCATTTAGGCATTTAATTGGTTATGTGTGAGGGGGTGTACTAGAGATTGGGTGTGGGGGGTGTACTAGAGATTGAACCCACTGGAGATTTTACCACTGACCACATCCTGAGTCCTTTTTTATTTTGAGATGGGGTCTCACTAAGTTGCTGAGAATCTTGCTAAATTTCTAAAGTTAGCTTCACAAATTGCAATCTTCCTAACCTTAGCCTCCCAAATGGACAGGATTACAGGACTATAAGCCACCCAGCTTCAAAGCTGGATTTTTTTTTTTTAAAGAGGTCCATTTTTTTTCAGTTGTTGATGAACCTTTATTTATTTATTCATATATGGTGCTGAGAATCGAACCCAGTGCCTCACATGTGCAAGGCATGCGCTCTACCACTGAGCTACAACTCCAGCCCCAAAGCTGGAATATTTTTTTTTAATTTTTTTAATATTTATTTTTCAGTTATGGGCGGACACAGCATCATTGTTTGTATGTGGTGCTGAGGATCAAACCTGGGCCGCACGCATGCCAGGCGAGTGCGCTACCGCTTGAGCCACATCCCCAGCCCCCGCTGGAATATTTTTTAAGGTCACAATGCATAGCATAAATCCCGGCATTTGTCCTTCTTTCCAATCAAAATCTCTAGATATAACACCAAGTATGTTTCTCCTCTCCTCCCTTCTACCTTCATTACCTTGAGCCCCTCTTCCTTTTCTACTTTCATCTCCCTGATTCCTTCTATCTCTCATTCCAATTCCAATCTTGCTTAGTAGCCTATTTCCTTTTCACCTCCCCCTCTATTCCAACTGCTCAAACCTGCCCCCAAAGGTTATATTCATGCAAATAAATATAAGCCAGAAACATAATGGAACAAATATTTTTTTAAAATATAAAGATCTTTTGAGTCTTTTGTAACACTGTATTAATTATTTATCCTTCCTCTTCCCCCCATATGCACCCTACCCACACTGCCTAATTTCAAACCTCAAGCTTCCTAAAGTAGTTAGGATAAAATTCAAATTCTTTAGCTCAACATTCAATTGTCTTTATGAAAGAGAGCTTGTTTAGCTCTCTAACCTTAAATCTTATGACTTTTTCATGCGTATCTTTTTGTTCCAATCTTAATAGATTTTTTTCAATCCCTCCAAAAAAAAAAAAAAGAAAAGAAAATCAGATCCTTTCATGAAATATGTTTATATGAGGATCTTTTGGGGCTCAAGTGATCATCCTGCCTTAGGCTCCCAAGTAGCTGGGACTGCAGGTGCATGCTACTGTTCCAACCCTTGACTACAGCTTTTAAAATTTCAAATTTACATGACCACAAGATGGAGTATATGAAACATCTAAAATTTAACAGCTCCATATTTTCTTACTTACTACACAAAATCGGAGAAGAGGGTGTTTGCAATGTCAAAGTAGAGCCATCTTTCCTTGTGATATTAACTCGAAAAACCAATCTGGCACGAGTGCTTTTTTTCTTGGAACCAGCAATTCCTATTCTGGCTTCAACATCAGCATTCCTCAACTTCAAAATTCCTACACAGTCCACACTAACACAGAAAAAAATATATTAATTGACATTTTGTTATAACATAGTACAACATTCTTAATCAAACAAGTTTTCTTTTAAATATTTTTTAGTTGTAGTTGGATACAATACCTTTGTTTTATTTATTTTTATGTGGTACAGAGGATCGAACCCAGGGTCTCGCATGCGTGAGGCGCGCAAGTTCTACCTCTGAGCCACAATCCCAGCCCCAAGTTTTTTTAAGAGTATTTATCTATAAATTCTCTGAACATGTAATATAGTTCCAAACTCAAAAAACACAGAAGTATAAATTCTGAACATTCATAGTTCCTAATCTTCTCAATATTTTGTTTATAATAATGGAAAAATAGTAGAGATGAAAATCACTATTTTAAAATCTAAACTGAAGTAATCAGTGGCTTATAAGAGCCTATTTCTTTTTCTTTTCCATTTTTTCTCTTTTTTTTTAGCTTTTTATTATTCTGTGTTCCTATTTTCTTACAATGAATGTTTTCTTTTTTCTTTTTGGTGGTGCTAGGAATCAAAACCGTGGTCTCACACATGTTCAACACTTGCTCTACCACTAAGCAGCATCTCCAGTCCCTTTTTTTATAATCAGTACCTCTCTTACTTTCTTCCTTTACTAAATACATTCACTTTTACAACTTTCAAAAGCTACCAGTCAAAAAAGCAAATCTTAATATTTCTCAATAACTAACCTTTCATCAATCTATTCAAAGCAGCTTTCAAAAGGCAAGTGGTGGAGAGCTTGCCTAGCAAGTATGAGGCAGTAGGTTCAATCCTCACCACCACATAAAAATAAGCAAAATAAAGGCATTTGTCCATCTACAACTAAAAAAAAAAAAAAGAGGAAACTGAAAACCAAGTAGAGAAAAATCTGTAACAGCTATCTTTTACAAATAATTACAACCCAGGTTTGCCCCAAATCAATATATTTGCTAGTGGCATGGTTCAATTTTAGGACTAAGGATCTTTTACAAAAAGCTTAAGAAAAAAATAAAAATGTAAATCTTTAATTCTTCAAATATTTTTCAGGCAGTGAAAATGCACAAGACAAAAAAATGCATGACCTTAGGATTTAATTTTTTTTAAATAAAGGAAAATAAAAATAAAAGATGAATTTAGACCAGCAATATGTTTTTCACATCAAAATGGGTCAAGACAACGCACGGTTTATGTTGAACTGTTTCTAAAGCAAACATTAAGAGCAGAATTTAGAAAGGCAAATTGAATTGTTTATGATTTTTATTTTCAATTTTAATATTATAAGTCTTTTTTTTAAATGACCTTATTCATTTTTATGTGGTACTGAGGATTGAACCCAGGGCCTTGCACATGTAAGGCGAGCGCTCTAACGCTGAGCCATAACCTCAACCCCAATATTATAAGTGTTAATAAGTAAATATCTGTAATTTTCTAAAAATCCAATATTTTACTTGGTTTTCATTTCCCTAGCTTTCACTACAGCAATTTCTCAGCAAATAGCAACAGAATTAAATTTAACTCATTACCATTCTGTAGTAATTTTTAAAATTTGTATTATGGCTTGAATATGAAGTGTCTCCTAAAAGCTCTTATTAATGCAACAACACTCAAAGATGACATGATTAGATCATAAGAACTATAACCTAATCAGTCCATCCTAGTTTGAAAGGGCTGGCTGCATGGTAACTGTAGGCCAAAAGGGTGTGGCTGGAGGAAGTGGGTCATTCAGGAGGTACCCTGAAAGGGTGCATTCTTTTCCCTGTATTTCTTAGCTCATTCTTTCACAAGTGTGTGCACTCATGTGTACTCTCTCTTTTTCTGTTTCCTGATCCCACCATGAGTTAAGCAGCTTTCCTCTGCTGGGCTCTTCCCCATGGTGTGCTGCCTGAAAGCAATGCAACTGCTGTTAGTCCAGAGCAATAGAGTCAGCCATCTATAGACTGAAACCTCTGAAACTGTGAGCCCCAAAGAAACATTCTCTTCTCTAAGTTGTTCTTATTGGATATTTTGGACACAGCAACATAAAAGTTAACTAAAGCAATTTATAATATTTAAAATATTTCAAGAAAATACTTGAAATCTTCTTTTATACACTAGAAACTAAAACTTTGCCCTAAAATGAAAGTGTAACATACAATGAAAACTTTTTTTTAAGTTGTTGATGGACCTTTATTTTACTTATTTATATGTGGTGCTGAGAATCGAACCCACTGCCTCACTCATGCTAGACAAGCGCTCTACCACTGAGCTACAACCCCAGCCCTGAAAACATTCTTATTTTTTTTATTTTTATTTTTTTGTGGTGCCAGGGATTGAACCCAGAGCCTTGTGCATGCAAGGCAAGCACTCTATCAACTGAGCTATATCCCCAGCCCTGAAAACATTCTTATTAAGTACTTACGCAAGTGTCATGTTGTTGCTAGGATCAAGGCCAACTTCTATAACAGTGGTGCCTTCAATGTCCACTTCTTTGCAGGGAGTTGTATTTCGTCCAGTTACTCTGCAGGCCTGATAAAATCCATGTGGTTTCACTCGGCCAGAGTCATTGCCCACAAACACCTGCAACACTACTGGTTCATTATGGCCTTCCAGCTGGAACCAGAATAACATATAGCAGAAACAATACTAATTAACATTTCATGTAAGGTAATTATAAAATATAATATTTAAGCCCAAATTCTGTATTTGTAACTGGATTAAAGAAATAATTTAAATCCTCAAGAAAAACAGAGGTCAAATATTTTTATAATGGAGAGTTGGCTAAGTTTCTGCAGAAAACTGTAGTTTTAATTCACAATAACCACATTTTAATTAAAAAATTTAGATGGTAGAAGACCTAAATTATCATTTGAAACTTACTTGTACCAGCAGATGAAAATGAACACACACTCCTTTTGATAGCATATAGTTACTCAGGACATACCACCATCATTCATAGAAAACTGTATTATGGGGCTGGCTTTGTAGCTCAGTGGTATAGCACTTGCCTAGACCATGTGAGGTACTGGGTTTGATCCTCAGCACCACATAAAAATAAATAAAATAAGGTTTCTGTATCTATCTACAACTAAAAAATTAGAAAAGTGTATTATGTTAGTGGCATCATTTTCATTATCAAATGAGTATATGTACTAAAATTTTACTAAAGCCGTAAAAGAAAAAAAAGTGTTTCAAGTGCAGCTGAATAAATAATATGGAAATGAAGCCCATTTTCAAAGACGAGGTATACATATACACGCATGCATATGTGCATGCACACACACACACACACACATCATCATCATGAAATTCTGGGACAAAACACGTTCAGAAAAACTAGCTATTTCAATCTAGAATTCATGGATCATTACAGGTCTCTAGAAAAAGCTTTCATAAATTATAATAAATATTTAAAATCAGAATAAATATTTAAAATCATTTGAGAGCAAATATTTCCAATCTCAATTCTTGATAAGGCTTTTAGTTAAACACTAAAGCTGATGATATAGAACACAGAAAATCACAAAGTAATTTGTATTACATACACTAAAGTGCTTTAAAAAACTTGTACATTTTTTCTGTCCCAGTATAGTGGTATATTTGTGAAATTATAGTCATATGAAGCAAATAATCAATCAAATAATAAAGTACTCAGTTGATAGTAAGTGCTAACATGTAAAGGGATGTAATATTTGTTGAATGAATAAATAAATAAACTTTTAAGGTCAGTCTATTCATTCTCTATCATAGACAACAGGACTAACATCTAACTAGCTAAGTACTTAGAAAATCATAACTTAAAAGTCAAGGCAAACAGGTTTTTAAAACCATTGACCAAACTATTGAACTGCTGAACTGTTTGACCACACAAATATTTATCCAATGAATAACTCAAATTTATCATTTGCTTGTTACTTGTCCTTGGTTTGAGGACTGAGGGATGAATTAGGGAGGAGCCAAGATTAAGTAAAGATGATATTGTACATGTGACTATTAATCAACCTTATAAAATGGTCACAGGCAAATGTCCTAATTCTGAGTATCAACCATAATTTCTTTCAAGCATAAAATGAAAGGTAACCCAAGTCTACTCTAATCTTGAAGTAGAGTTCACCTAACATGTTCATACAAATGGTGTTTAATAAGACTTTTCATGTAACTAGCCAAATTTCCCCTCAGTATTTTGCAAGGGGTAGGGACAATTGTTAAAACATCCCTCATCTCCCCCACCTATTTATTTTTTGCTTATTTTATGTTCAAAGAGACTTTCTTCTTTCTCTATTTTTTTTTTTTTTTGTTGTGACACTGTAGGAGTTTTGAGCCCGGGGCAATTTACCACTGAGCTACTTCCACCCAACCTTCTCTTTCTTCTTCTTCTTCTTTTTTTTTTTTTTTAATTTTGAGACAGGGTCTCACTCAAACTTGTTATTTTCTTGTCTCAGTCTCCCAAAGCACTGGGATTACAGGCAGGCACCACAGTGCCCAGCTAGAACTATTCTTTATATCAAGATATCCCAGTCAGGCCTGTAATCCCAGTGGCTCCAGAGGCTGAGGCAGGAGGATGGCAAGTTCAAGGCCAGCCTCAGCAAAAGCGAAGTGCTAACCAACTCAGTGAGACCCTGTCTCTGAATAAAATACAAAATAGGGCTGGGGATGTGGCTGAGTGGTTGAGTGCTCCAATTCCCAGTACCAAAACAAAAAAAAAAAAACAAAAACCAACACACAACCCAGATGCTGAAGTTAAACCTTTTTTTACTTTTAATCTGAGTTCTGAAAATATATATATTTTTTTTTTTATATATATATATATATATTTTTTTTTTTTTTTTTTTTTGGTACTAGGGATTTAACTCAAGGACACTCAACCACTAAGCCATATACCCAGCCCTATTTTTGTATTTTATTTAGAGACAGGATCTCATTGAGTTGCTTAGCACCTCACTTTTGTTGAGGCTGGCTTTGAACTCACAATCCTCCTGCCAAGGACTCTGGAGCCACTGAGATTATGGGCTTGCGCCACCATGCCCAGCTGAAAAATTATTAATATTTAATTTACAACCTATTTTTTAAATTAAGACTTGTTACATATAACCAACTCTTCTAGGTTGAATAGTTCTGATTACTTTAGCCATCTCAAAAGTCTTATTTTCCAAGTCTTTAATAATACCCACTATATCTTTGCATTCACTTTAGAATTTCTGTTTTAATATAAAATTTGGGATGAATTTAAATCCAGTGTAAATTTTAAGAGAAAGATAATTCATGATTTATAGATATTTTACTTTTGAGAACATAGTCTCACCTTTCATTCAGACTAACACTCAAATGGTATCAATGTGATATTTGGTTTAAGGTCCAATTAGCTTCTACTCTGTTTTCAATTATATATATAGATAATAATTCTAATCTTCTGTTTTAGACAGCTTTTGCTGGGGTTAAAAACAAAAAAAAATGGTAAAACTGGAGAAAATTCTTCATACATTACTAAATAAAATAAACACCTTTACTGTAGGAAAGCCTTGCTGTGTTCTATCTTTTACTGAGCCACGACTTCCCTCAGTCAGGTACCGAGCTCGGTGCTGGGTCTCAGGCTGCACAACTATCTTCAGCTCCTTTCCCTCACTTTTAACTGGATACTGTCCACACAACATAGGGCTCTTCTTTACTCCAGTTCCTTTTTGGTTGTCCAATGTTCTGAGAAATCGAAGCACAACATGAAGAACATATCAAAAACGGTTTTCTATAAAACTAAGATAAAGGAAGAAACAGAACAGGCAATAACACTTAAAACAACTGCTTAGCTTACTGACAAAGTACAGCCTAAAAGAAGGTACATTACATAACTAAAGTATCTTCAAAAATTTTTCAACAAAATTTAACTGTGATGTAAAAAAGAAAATTGGACAAGAAAAAGAAAGAATGCATGTGACCAGCTGGAAGAAGGAGGAAGACTGCATACAATAAACTATGATCTATACTTACACACTTCAGTCAAAATAAAAATTTTAAAAATTATACATATATGTGAGTTCCTACATACAGTTAAAAGTAACTATTATTACTCTCTTATCAAACTTCCAAAGGGGGGAAAAAAGAAAAATAAACAGGAGCAGCAAAAGACAAAACTAAACCAAACCTCCAACACACATACACATACAGAGCCCAAAACAACAATGACAGTATATATAGCATATTCTTTTGAATCTCTTTCTCAGTAAGTCAAAATGATAAAATTAGAATTTAAAAAATCAGTGATTAAATTTTTAATGGGAAATTACTTTGCTCTAAATAGTATTTCCTAGAAGTATGGTTTTTCAGAGTATTTTTATTTACTTAAAATGATTAAAGCTCTCAATAAAAAATGTTATAATCTGGGCTTTATAGCATCAACAATCTAACTTCATAAATTGTGCTTTAAAAAATTTTTGTTAATAATGCATTTGTTATGTGTAACTATGTTAAAAAAATATTCCAAATAGTGGTTAGGCTAGCATATATAATCTGTAAAGTTGCTAAATCACTGCAAATATGTAATGAAAATAAGAAGAAAACAATACTGTTAGATTTTTTTTCTTTTGAGCAACATAAAATGCAATTAAAATTATCCATGTATATTTTTAAATAGTCAGGGTGTATAATACTTTTTGACTCGCATTGAAAGTTCAGAAACCAGAAGACACAGAGGACAACATCTCCTCCAAAAGTAACCAGATCCCAGGAGGAATATTAGGACTTCAAACACAGAAGAACTAAACATCCTTAAAACTCTTTTAATGTCTACCCAGAGGGCGTACCAAGTTGTTGTCTCAATCATTGAGAACAAAGGAAAGAAAGGCAGTACCCTCAATAGAAATGAGGACAGGGTTGACAAGCCCCTTGGCTAGGAAATGGGCAGAAGAATGAAGAAAGCAGCAATGGAACTGACATAGAAATGCAGTAAGAAATGCAGTAAAAGGAAGAGTTCTCAGGGCAAGTGCTGTGCTTAATTGTCAGGTTCAGGAACTGAACAAATGTTTGTTGATAAAGGCAAATAGGAAGAAGAAATGCACAAAGAAAGGAAAGCAGAGGATCCTAACTGGACAAGGAATGCCATTCATGTAAGTTTGACATAATGAACTTGAAGATTACCTGTGTAAGTCATTTTAAAAGGCCCTGGAAGAATACATTCTATGAACAAGAGGATCAAGTTGAAGCTGGAACAATGGGCAATAAACCCTGCTTTTCTTTTCATCATTCTGGATAGAAATTCAAACATTTGGTCTGAATAGTATAAAATTCCTTGCAAATGAAATCCTATAATAATACTGTTTTATATTCATCTTACTATTAAATAAAAAAATTCATTTATTAAAATACGTAAAACATCCCCCACATATACACACAGAGGGACTAAAGAATAATAAAGCTAATTTACTAGATTATTGACTAATTTCTTGTATTTTCAAATATTTGTAATTTATATCTAGCAATTCTATAATAAAAAAGGGAAAATTTTAGTTGGAAATATAAAGAAAATGAGTATGACGTTAATTAATTTGTCCAGTATAGGATTTTATGTTTACTTAAGCTAGTCAAGTTTGAAATGTAAGGATAAATAAATGGAAATAAGTGTTACTAGTCTAGAAAAACAAAATACCTTATTTGGGATGCAGACTGTTGAGTGAGTTAACAAAATATATATAATAAGGCTTGAAGACAAATAGCAGGCACTCATAGTGGTGCATGCTTGTAATCCCTGCTACTCTGGAGGCTGAGGCAAGAAGATCAAGTTTGAGGTCAGCTTCAAAAATTTAGCAAGACAATGTCTCAAATAAAAATAAAAAGTGCTAAGGTTGTAGCACAGTGCTTAGAGTGTCCTCGAGTTCAATCCCTAGTAGGTTGTTTGGGTGGTTAGTTGTATAGCCCTTGGCTAGCATGTGTGAGGCTCTAGGTTCCATCCCCAGTACCATAAAAGGGGAAAAAAATGTAAGCACATTGAATTAAGCAATTTCTGAAATGACAGTTTTTCTCAAAACTTGTTTTTATTCTCTTAAATTTAAACAAAAAATATGCATATTTAAACCTATAGACACGTAATGAAAACATTAACTGATTCTTGGAAAACATTAACTGATTCTTGACTTTTTTTTTTTTTTTTAAGGCATAGTGGCTTAAGCAAAAATAAGAAAGTAGCAATAGTTATATAAAATTTGGTGATTCTGGGGATTGCATCTAGGGCCTCTCCCATACTAGAAGAGCACTACGATTCTTGGACTACACTCTAGGTTGATATTTTACTTCAAAATAACAACTAAAAAAAGAAAATCCACTGTTCTAACTATTGTTGCATATTCTATTCAGGAGTCTTAAAATGACATTCTTTTTCTCTTGTGCCAGACAATCTTTTTTTGTTATCTTTGACACAAAAAATAATTTCCACTGTAAAATGCCTAAAATAGGTTTCATAATACATGGCATCATATCTTAAACTTCTCAGGAATAGTTAGAAGAGATATGGACTACTGATTCTCAAAACATTTAGTTGAATTTCAGCATGATATGGCTAGCAATATTTAAATACTGAAGAGCTTTTTAATAAGTTTGTTTTTACAAACTCTTAACATTTTAGTTATAAAAAATGGTATTTCCATTTTTATCAAGATTTCTATCTTGAAGGTCAATAAGTTACAATGTAGTTCAAAGTACATTTTTTAAATACTTAGCATTATATGAATTGCAAATTATAGCACATTAATTCTAAGGCTATATAATTTACCTCTCAAAACATTTTAAAATTTCATGTTTTTAACATCTTTTTCATTATTGAAGAATATGGGTTACCAGCTTGGGATGCTCTGAAAAATTGTTTTCAAGGCCCATTTTTCCATACATTTTATATATGGCTTCATCCTTTCCTCCTATAGTTCTTATAAATTCAAATTTTAAACTTCTTCATCATTTCCATATGCTAGTGTCAAATAATTTTCCATTACCTAAGAAGCTGGACATTTCTTCTTCTGCTTGATGGAGTTTCTGCTCCATGAATTATTTCATGAAAGATTTTGTCTTGACCAATGTCATTACACTTTCCCTGGGTAACCTCAAATCATTTCTAAGATATATCTATCATACAAAAGCAGAAGCAAAAAAGATGTAGGTCAAGTTCTCTTTAATTAGCAACTGCAAATCACTATGTTGACTATCCCTAAGTCAAATTTTTATTTTCTCTTAATGTGGAATTTTAACATCTCTTCTAGTATAAATATGAAAATCTCTCACTGGAACTTTATGAGACCTTCTCCATTGAAGCCCAAATAAATATATGTACATATATTTAATGATTTTAATGAACCTTTTAGATCTGTGCTACTAGTCACATTTACTTAAATGACCTGTGATATTCATTGTTTTAGTGCCTTATTCTCTATGTAATATTTCTACAGTTATTATGTTCTGAAATTCTTGAATCTGTTAAATGGCAACATTTTAGGAAACGATACACCTTGTTTCTTTTAGGAAATTCCCTAAACTATACTTTTTCTAAAATGGAAAAGCACTTTTATTAAACTATATCACTCCGTAGGAATATTAAATTTAAAAAGTGTAAAAGAAATCAATATATTAATTCTTGCTTAAATGATGGATATTACTTTTTAAATGTACAAAGGGAATATTTAAGGAAAAGTCTAAACATATCAAGAATATTCTCTGTAATAGTCAAACAGATTTTTAATATGAGATCAATGATATCATCATGTAGGAAACCAATCTAATGTTTCTGGGCAGCTATTTGTGACAAACTGAAATTGTAAGGGATTATGGGTCAATGAAAGGATCATAATCATGTCTCTGCCTCCCAAAAATGTAATTCTTAAAATCCAATGAGTTAAATTTTACTAAACTATGTTGAATAAATTGTAGGAAAATTTAATTTTAAAAATCTAGCAGCTAAATTTTATAAATTAAAGTACTAAAAAAAAAAGTTTAAAATAAGCCATACTAGTCTGTATTATAGCAGTGAGTACCCTGTAACGTAGCTATTGAAACATATTTATTTAGTGAGTAGTATGAACTGGCATGAATGAACAAAAACTCAGAATGTGTACCATGATCCTGTTACAGTATCTTCTAATAAGTTATCCAGAATCACAGAAAAAGTAGTAGTGATTTTCTTAAAAAAAAAAATAAAAAATAATCCTGAATTGACATAACGTATCCAAGAAAAAAAATTTTAAACATATGAACCTCAATGACTAGAATCAAATCATCAATTTAGTTTTTTCTAATTTTCATCAAGTAAAAAAGGGGGAAAAAAGATAAAATCTAAATCTCTCAAAAATGTAATGGAGTGAACCACATGAAGATACAATCTCAAAGAGAACACAAATTATCTTTTGGAGAATGTTTTTGTGTTGGTTTAGTTAGAGTCATTACATTGCTACTTATGTCAATAAGTAAAAATATTTTAAAATTCTTTTAAAATACAAATTCATTTGAAATTTAGAAGTTATTTCAAAACAGATTATTGGTATTTTCTACTACCTATCCTCATACTAATATACCTAAGGCTATACTATTATTTTATTTTTTCTCTAGTAAAACTTGATAAGTTTAAGTTAAAATTTTCATGTATTTCAATGATAAAATTAGCACCTCTGCTTTATATGCAAACTTGAGCTGAACAATTAAGTTGGGAATGATTTATTTTTTTGTTTTGCATAATGGTGATAGAACTTTAAAAAATGTGAATACCAACCCATTTCCAGCTTTTGAGTTGCCTTTGTTGTCCGTGGTAAGCTGAGAAAGCACATAGTGAGGTGCTTTGGCACTGTCGGCATCAAATATATCCATATTAGATTCTTCACAATCTCGTCGTTTGACCCCCGGCCTCTGCTTTGGATTTCGTTTTCGTGATTTACGAGGTACCTCAGTGTTATCATTGTAGGAACTGGTGCTCATGTTACTGAAGTTGGAGGGGGAATCCTCCATCCACATACTGCAGCTCTGCTCAGATTCCAATCCACACCCCTCATCCTGGCAGGACATCCGACTGTTATCCAGCAAGTCCTCGGGTGGTGGTGAGATGTACAAAACTGTGTGCCTCTTCGGGGTTGATGGATGCTGCTGAACTGTGTTACTGGTTAACTGCTTTTCACTTACCCCTCTGTTACTTACCCCCACGGCTGAGGAGCAGCTCTCCACTTGCATAGCCTTGCTGTCGGTGACTGAGGTAGAATAAATGGTAGGGCTGGAAGAGGTGGTAAAGGAGCTGCAAGCACCGCCCATGGAGGAAGAGGAGGGAGCTGAAGAAGCATCTGCAGTGTATAATTCAAGAGTAAATATACTATACATGTTTTCACCTATGCTGGCTAGCAGTCCCATTGAATATGTGATTTGTGAACTGATTGTTTTTCCCCAAAATGAATGATTGGAATTTGGTAACATTTTAGAATATAAATGCTTCAAGCAATACAAAGCCTAAGAAATGAATTTTTTTAAATGTCCAAATAGCATTATTTTACTTGTGTTATAATTGATAAAATTTTTAAATCTAATTTAATGTTTTAAGCTGTAAAGCAAGAATAAAATTTTTTATTGCCTCAGCTGGTTGTTCTGTTGAATTTTAATCAGTTAAGGTAATAAAGAAAACCCCAACATGAAATATATGTTTGTGGTCCACATTCAATGCCAATTAAATAATTCATTATAGAATTTGAAAAGTGGGACTGTGCTTAGCCACAAAATATTAAAATAAGTTTCTAACCTATGAAGCAGAGAACTACAGGTCATTTTTAATGCAGACACTCCCTGCTTCAGAGGCAAATCCTGGAATAAAAATATGAGAAAATAAATGAGAAGAGCTGCTGATTATTCCAGATATCAACTATAAAATGAAAAAATATATAATCAACTGAATTGGAGACAAAATGGAACTGGTACCATCACTATCATTGGATGTAAAATCTAGAAAAATAAAGTGAAAAAGGTTTGATTTGGAACATGCCAGGTTGTATAAGAAAAATCAGTTAACCATTGAGAGTCTACAGAAGATGGAAGTGACAGTTCAAAACCATGAACTCTAAAAGACAGAGATCCATCACTTAAGATGCATGAAAAGCATAGTAAGGGCTGATTAGTAGATGGATTTCTTGTACAAAGTACTTGATTATGTGCTCAAAAATTGGTTAACACTGTCCATTTCCTTACCCCTTCCCTTTAACGGTCCTGCTTATTTGGAACTATTAAAAAAATTCCTAATAAAAATGAACAATTGGCTGAAGTCTTAACAAAAAAGGGTAAAGTATAAAAATCTCTGGAGAACATCAGAATTAATTCCTATAAAAAAGTTTTTTTTAATTAAACTGTTTATCAATTCACCTAGCAAAAAAGGTGATTTAGTAGATATTTTCAGACTGTGAGACAACTGGCAGTCATACTGAAAAGATATTACAACTGTAGCTTTTAAAAAACATAACCTTAGAGTCACACTAATATTGTTAGGTTGGCAGGTGTTACTGGTAAAATTTTACAAATACCAAATTATCTTGTACAAGATATGGAAAGGTTTATAACTGTGCACCTCAAAAATAAAAATAGGTCATGTGATGGACAACTTAAATATGTTTAAATCTAAAATTAATTTGTATCCATAGTCATCAATGTCACAGTTTTAAAGTATACTTTAAAATTCAAAACTGTGATGTATCATTAATGAAATTATAATATTCATATCAATTATAAAGAGTAAAATGTAAGAATGCCAATATTTAGATACTCAAAAGTCAAAGATCCATTTTTTTCCTTCAAAATCTCTTTTTTTATTGAAAACATGTTTCAAGCCAAGCATGGTAGTACACCCTTGTAATTCCAGCTACTTGAGAGGTAGGAGGATCGATGCCAGTGCGGGCAACTTAATGAGACCCTGTCTCAAAATTAAAAAATAAAATAAAAAGGACTAAGGATGTATCTCAGTGGTAGAGCACCCCTGGGTTCATTCCCCAGTAATACTTCCCCCACCAAAAAAAGAGAAAGAAAATATGTATCAAAAACACTTAAATTATTTGAAAGAAGTACAACCACCCAGAATTTTTCATTGTTGTCAAGACTGAAGTGCTCAGTAATTAATATTGGCCACATAATGTGATCTATAATTCCACATTGAAATACTTTACCCAACTACAATTGCGCCAAAAAACCTAAGTAACTAGACGATACCAGTTCCATTTTCCTGTTTGTATCCTTGTCAAATGCAGTAGCTGAAATTAGAAAATTCAGTCACTTTTAAACTGCATTCCAATTTAAAGAAAAATTTGTCAATTTTGTATCATGCATTAATGCAATGTTTTCTTAGTAAATAAATATTTTAAGATTTGTAAAAACTACAAAATCTAGATGCTAATGTCAGTGACAGTTTAGGAGCTGATTTGTAGCCACTTTGGGTTTAAATATAAAGGTTTTTTTCCATTGCTTTTTGAAAAATACTACAAAACTCATTTTAGGAAAAAAAATAGAAAAATTATGTCTAACATTGCTCCATCTGTTCCAACTATTGGCAAAAATTATTTTTTGTGTGTGTATGGCCTATATTCTTAATGCTCAGAAAAATACAAGTAGGCAGCATGCAGTATTTGCAGAAGACACAAAGCATGCAGCATGAATGTGGTGAACCTGCATTTCTATAAAATGGCTTTACCCCACCCATTCTTTTTTAACGTGTCATGCACATTAGAGGGCAGAATATGAACATCACAGGATCCCTGACCACAAGTGGAAAGCATATGCAAAAAACAATGAATTCAAAAGCAAGTTATGTGGCTGTGATATTTTATGTGTGTATGTGTGTGTGTGTGTGTGTATGTGTGTGTGTGTTTTCATCCATAGTTCCTGACTTATGGCTCCTATAATTCCTGTAATTTCCTAAGTGGTAGAATAATAAAAAGTACCTTAGGTTAAAGTTACAGTCTTTTGTTTGAGAGTGATAAAAATGAAAGGTAGTGCTATGTTATTTATACCAAGCTCCCCATTCTGCCACTCCTGAGTTTTTATTAATAAGGTGATTTTTTTCAAAGTTTCTAGATAAACACAGGATTGGGGCAGAGGGGACAGCTGCCTAGAGAACCCACCAAACGCTTGTAGGGTGGCGGAAGAACTCAACAATTTCATTTTCCCATCACCAGTGAGGAGAGGGGACTGAAGTTTTCATGAATAGTCAATTACCTAATCACATCTACATAATAAAACTTCCATAAAAATCTAAAAAGACTGCTCCAGGGGCTTCCAGGAAGGTGAAGAATACATCCTTGAACCAGGAGAGGCGCACCTAAACTCCACAAGGGCCAAAGCTTTTTTTTTTTTAGCTCAATACTCTTCCAAACCTTACCCTATGTATTTCTTCATCTGTTACTCATTTATGTCCTTTAAAATATCCTTTATAATAAACCAGAAACACAAGTGTATGCACAAGTTCTGTGAGCCACTATAGCAAATTAATTGAACTCAAGGAGGGAATCATTAGAATATTGATCTACAGTCAGAAGCCAAAATTTTATTTTTATATATATAATTATTAAGTTAAATTGACAAATAAATGTAAATTGAAGAAAAAAAGATTTACTAGTCAAAGCCCTTCAAGCACATAATATTACAACAGCATTATCTGATATAGTAAAAAGACTAAGAGTTTAAAGGCAATTGCTATTTCTACAGAGTGCTCCAATAATTTTCTTCTTTCAAACTACATATAAGCCAAATTACCTACTTGTATATTAACCCATAAATTTACCATGAATAAAAATATCTTTAATTCTATCCTATTTAAAATATAAATATAGTAGGATGCAGTGGTGCCTGCTTTACTGTAACCCTGGCAGCTCTGGAGTCTGAGGCAGGAGGATCAGCAACTTAGCGAGGTCCTCAGCAACTAAGCAAGATCCTGTCTCTAAGTAAAACATAAAAAAGGACTGGGGACATGGCTCAGTGGTTAAGCTCTCCAGAGTTCAATACCCAATACAAAAAAAAAAAAAAAAAAAAAGTTTTTCAAGGCCAATCTCAGCAATTTAGAGAGACCCTGTCTCAAAAATTAAAAAATAAAATAGTGTAAAGCACCCCTGGGTTCAATCCCAGTATTTACTAAATTAATATATAAATGAATAAATGGAAAAGTTACAGAATGATGTCAAGAACATTTTAGATTTCTAAATAATAATTGTAAATTTACTTAAAATATTGCCAGCCTCAGCAACTTAGTGAGCCTTTGTCTCAAAATAAAAAGTAAAAAGGGCTAGGGATGTAGCTCAGTGGTAGAGTGTCACTGGCTTCAATCACCAATAGCAAAAAAAAAAAAAAACAACCCACAAACAAACAAAAGCTATCTATCTATAAAGAGCTTTCACTAATTATATTACTAAATAAAATAGCAAGAACCAGCTTACTGGCATTCTATGGAACTAAAAGCTAATATAATCCTGCCCCATCTATATATTCTTTATTTATAAGTTCCTATAAACAAAAATCTAATTACTTCTTCCCCTTTCACCTTTTTGGTGCTGGTCTTTATATTTTGTTAAGAATGTGGAGTCGGGCTGGGATGTGGCTCAAGCGGTAGCGCGCTCGCCTGGCATGCGTGCGGCCCGGGTTCGATCCTCAGCACCACATACAAAGATGTTGTGTCCGCCAAATACTAAAAAATAAATATTAAAAAATTCTCTCTCTCTCTACCTCTATCTCTCTCACTCTCTCTTTAAAAAAAAAAAAAAAAAGAATGTGGAGTCTACATTTAATTGATGCATATTAAAAATATAATTCCAACATAAAATGTTTTAATAATTGTTTTTATTTCCTCATTGAGCAGAATAATTACAGTGTATTTCTGCTTCATAACTTCATAATTTCATTTGTTTCATTTGCCAATCCTTTATAAACCTAAGAGTTTTTCTTGACGTTTTTCTTAAAATTATTCTCTTATTTAAGTAGCATGTGAATGTTTACTTTTTTCTTTTGAAAAATAATTTCTTTTGAGAAACAATTATCTTTGAAATAATTTACATAGAATAATTTTATTTTTCCACAGCATTTTCTGCAACCCCAGAAGATACCATGAACCAAAAGGAATACTGACAGATTAATCTATAATTTACTAATAAAAATTTATAATCTCAGAAGAATAGATTAATGCTTAAATTTAAAAGGGAAGGGAAGCATTACACCTACAGTATCCTATATTTAAGTCTAACAATTTCAATATTAGCAGTAGCCAATTATCACATCAAATCCTAGTAATAATGGTGAACTTGAATTAAAAACATAGCTTCTTTTCAGAAGTGGTAGAGCTACACTATGCAGTGTAGCTCAATGGTAAAGTGCTTTCCCAGCATGTATGAGGCCCCAGGTTCTATTCCTAGCACCAAGGAAGGAAGGGTTCCAGGGATGGAGATAAACTGATGGAATCACTAAGGTTTACTCTGAATATTGAAAGTAGCTGGAGGGGGATATACAGATTATATCTACATGGACTACATGGATATCCCAGGATTTGCAAATATTATTAATTAATTTGATGAGAAAGATAAAATATTTTAAATGGTATCACATATAGGAACCTATATATATTTTATATATCCCTTGCTTAAACTATATTTAAAAATTAACAACTATTAGTTCTAGATGTGTCAACTATAAGTTACTTTACCACAATATTTTAGTGCTTAAAATGCAATGAGATTATATTTTATATAGGACTAACCATACTTTTTACAGAAAGCTCTGAAATTAGAAACATTTTTTAAAGTTCTCAAAAGAAGTAAATACCTTTCATTCATTTAAAATAT